CTAGCACTGTCGAATAGCGCCTGCCCATCGCACAGCCATTCGAAAGCATTCCACAAGAGTTTGGCACCCATCGGTTCAGCTGACCAAGCAGCATACGGCACCCCATCGATCCCAGGAGCAGAGTCTTGCACCGATCCCAGGACACGTCGCAGAGGACGAGGGGTAGGCGGAGGAAGATGAACATCCCCAACTGGCGGGAGCCACTGTCGAATATAAGTACACGCAGTATTTTGATCCCAAGATTTCTTAGCGAATACAGGGCCCCAGTATTGACCTAGAACTCTCAATTTCTCCTGGGGGTCCGAGACAACATGATCAGAAGACTCACGCACACATGTCAGAGCAAGTCGACGACCAATGGGAGACCACAACCGAGCTTTTCTCTCTAGAGCTCTGAGCTGCATTCGAGTCGATCGCGAGGAAGCCCCAGGAATCGATGCCGAGGCAGACGAGGATAACGTAGACCGCTCCAGGTCAGCAGCATCCCGCTGTACCTGCGCACACCATTGCTGGAACGACGGAGGATGAAGTAGTGCCACAGCATGCCCATCCACCCGCATATGTGCAGATGCCAAGCTATGCGACGCTAAGATGCGAGAAGCCAGTTGCCAGTCCTGACGCCAGATCACTCGCGCAATCATCCTGGAGAGCAAGAGGAGGGTCTTGGGGTGCTCGGGGAGGGTCTTGAACATATGATCTCTGGTTTCTCTCCCAGCGATCTTCACGAGGCCCTTAAAGTGCTCCAGCTGGAACGGGGGCGACAAGAGATCCCACTTAGAGTCCGACACGAGCCCCGCCAACCTCTTCTGGAACCAAGGGTCCTGACACACGTGCTTGGGCACGCACCTAGTCTCTGGCAGTCGTGCACTGCGTGGGGTCAGAGAAACAATGATAGCAGCATGATCCGAAATCCCTTTATCAGACACACATGCAGGAGCGTCCAGCGTCGTCGCCATCACAAACAGCTGGCAGGCCTGCCAGCTGGCGAGGGAGCAGAAGATGCGGTCAATCGCCGCCTCCGTGCCCGCATGGCGATCGAAGTGCGTCGGGAGCGAGTGCTCGAGCTCAGGCATGCCCCCCAAGGCTTGCTTCCAGATCGCAGCACGCCCATGATGGCGCCGTTCTGACTGCTTCACCGCGGCCACAGGTGAATCCAGGATGGGCGCCTCCTCCGCCGCAAAGTTGAAGTCGCACAGTATGATCACCAATGCTTGGTCTGGGAACTCCTCCGCATATGAGAGATCGTATCGAATTCGACGAACGACGTCACGAACAGTATCAGCATCAAGCTCATGGTTGTGTACATTATATATGATGAGCTCAGCTTCTGGTGCAAGAACAGCAACTCGAATGACCCTGCCTGCCACCACAGGCTGCGACTCAACACGAGTCTCCCCGTTTGCTGAAGACAGCAAAGGTGGAATCAAAACTGCCACTCCTCCGCGAATCAGCGAGTCCCCGAATGATGACTCAACGTGCACGGAAGGGTCGATGGCACGTAGATATGACTGAAGTTGGACCTCATCTTGGCGAACCTCCTGGAGGGCCACCACTGTCTCCTGCAAGCGCAAGCGCGAGAGGTAGTGCTTCTTCAAGCTGGATTTCTGCCCGCCAGCCTGAAGTAGCGAACGACAGTTCCATGATGCGAATCGTAGTGAACGTGGAGGCACCCCATCACGAGGGGCACAATGACGAAATAGATGCCACACATTAAAGACACCACTGTTCCTCAGCTGCAAGCTCGACCAAACATTTGGTGCATGCCCGCAGTCGTTCGATGTCCATGTTGTTCTTCGTGATACGGTTGGGCTCCCAATGGAGCTTTGATTCATCCTGTCCCGCACCCACCTCCACCTTGAGAATCTTGTCCCAGCCCACCAGCAGACATCCTCGCTCACGGTCCGTGAACGGCTTGGCCTGAGGGTACACATTCGCGATCTCCGAGCGGCACCGCCGGAGTAGTATCTCTGTCTTAACTTGTTTCGGACTTTTGTCTGGTCCGAGGAAGAGCCTGCAGTCAGCCGAGCCTGTGACGCCGACTGTGAACTCCCGCCACTGCTTGTCCACCTTGAGGTTCTGCAGCACCGCGTGCGCCTTGCGCGTCGCTGGAGCCACCGCACCCTTGAAGGCCACAACGAAGCGCTTGGATGGTTCGCCCCCCGCAGCTTTGATCTCATACTCCGACGCCTCATAACCCAGCCCACTGATAAATGGCTGAAGGGTTTCACGTACGTGGGCCACAGTAGTGTGCTTCTGCGACATCGCCACCACGATCGTGCCGTCAGGGTCGCGGTCGAAGCCCGCAGGAACCCGAGGGGGTGGCTGTGGCCTCTCATTGGCCAGTGCCAATGCTCGCTGCATATCATCCAGGCGACGGTTGAGGGCGTCGATCGCTGTGTCGTGCTCATTGATGTGGCGACCATGATCACCGAGGAGAGTTCGTTGTTCATCCAGCTGGGCTTGAAGGCGGCGCGATACATCATCCACTTGCGGCCTGACGACTGACATGATCTTCTCGTCCATGGTAGCCTGGTTGTCCTGTACCCTTTGGCGAACAGCTTCGAGCAACTCGAGGACGGTCTTGTTGCCAGCGGCCACGGACTCCTTGACAGACTTGCCAAGCTCTTCTTTGACATGGGCCTTCCACTCCTCGATGAGGGGCAGGAGCTCGGCTTTGCACAACTCTCGCATATAGTCATCTCCATCCCACTCATCCACTTCACCGATGGTGACATCACCATTTGCTGGAGTGCGCCGTTTAGTGGGAGGAGGACCAGCAGGGCGAGGGCAAGCAGCACTAGCCGCACCACCTTTGCCCCCCTTGCCTGAGCCAGCCATCCGTTCTTGTGAAGGGAACGTGGGGGCCGCCTCCAACTCATCAGCAAGACGTTGATTGTCAGCCTCAGTCGGTAATCCCATGAGAGGAGGGGCTGTGCGATCGGGCGGCCAGGAACGGGAAACGCCTCCGTTTACCCGACCGCACGAGCGCGGATCGATGCAAAACACTGCCAGACCACAAGGGTCTTGCCAGCCGCGGACTAGCGGTATCCACTTGGTCCCCTGGGGAACATTGGACCTTGAGCCAAAATGGTTACGGAGGAGGAGGGGGAGGAGGAGGAGGAGGAGGAGGAGGAGGAGGGGGAGGAGGAGGAGGAGGAGGAGGAGGAGGAGGGGGAGGGGAGGAGGAGGAGGAGGAGGGGGAGGAGGAGGAGGAGGAGGAGGGGGAGGAGGAGGAGGAGGAGGAGGGATGGAGGAGGAGGGGTCAGAGCTGCCACCAGCCCTGGGCCGCGGTCTCGCGCGTCGTGCCGCGCGCTGTGCGATGGCCTCCGTGCCCTCGCGCCTCCGCGCCGCTCCCTGTGAGAACCACTCTGGCCCCTCCTCCTCCTCGTCCTCGTCCTCGTCCTCGTCCTCGTCCTCGTCCTCGTCCTCATCCTCCTCCTCCTCCTCCTCCTCCTCCTCCCCCTCCTCTCCTCCTCCCCTCCTCCTCCCCTCCTCCTCCTCCTCCTCCTCCTCCTCCTCCTCCTCCCCCCGCGTGCGGCCTGGAGTCATCGAGTGTGGATGATTTCGCGTCTGCTGAGGAAGATTCGACCGGCGTCGAGGCGAGAGCCGAAGGGTGGGAGTCGGCGGGCTGACCCACGAGCCGCTCCTGATCCCCATCTACAGTCCTCGTGCTGTCACAGTGAACGCTGGCTAAGGAACAAAGGGGCTCCTCTGACCAGGGCCAGCCGCCACGAAGAGGTTCCCCAACCTAGATCTAGGGGCCGGCCCGAAACCCAGGGCCCCTACTGAATCCAAAATGGTCCATGCTCCTCCCTGGCCCTTTCCGACAGGCGGGAGGGGGGGCAGTGGAGCCTGTCGGTCGGTCTGTCAAGGGCCCCCCACAGGGATTGAATCCCGGCTGGGGGTACCTCCTGGCGTCGTGGCCTCCTTCCTCCATCCCCCTGCGCCCCCCGCCCATCATTCATTTTCCACGCTACATCCATCCTCTTCGCTCCTCCCTGCCGCCTCCATCCCCACTGCACCCCACATCCATCCTCCCTCCTGCGTCTCCAGACTGCTCCCCATCACCACCACCGTCAGAGTCACCACCAACTCCACCACCATCACCTCCACAGCCTTCACAATCGGCACCATCACCATCATCACCAGCGCCATCGCCATCATCATCATCATCATCATCACCATCATCATCATCGTCATCATCATCACCACCATCATCATCATCGTCGTCATTATCCCTCCCGCCGTCTCGCACTCCGACCTATGGTGCTTCTCACTCCTCTCCCTTATCATCCATCCCCTCCTCCCCCAGTCCTTTTCCTTATGAATCACTGTCGCAGCATCCCGGGGCCAGTCAAAAGGGTGGCCCGGGCGCTTCGCCTGAGACGTCCCCACTACTTGCGATCATGAAGCTTGAATAGAAATTGGCAGGAGCTTCACGGATGGAGGGCGGTCCTCTTTCAAAATGTGGCTCTCGCCTTAGCGCCGCGCACACTCGTTTCAAACATGAACAGGTGTTTCACTGTTTCACAGATGGAGGGCGGTCCGTTTACAAAATGTGGTTCTCGCCTTAGCGCCGCGCACATTCGTTTTAAATTATTTGCAAGAGCTTCACGGATGTAGGGCGGATCCTTTTCAAAATGTGGCTCTCGCCCTAGCGCCGCGCACATTAGTCTAAAGAGTTTGCAAGCGTTTCAAGGCTTCTCATGGTTCGGATCGTCAAGAAGCAACAGTAATGGTGATTCACGGCGTAGAAATCCCAGGGATGGTGTTCTGGCACCAACGGTTGTCTGTCAACGGGGCACTTCCATCAGTGTAAAATGAATCCGTGTAGAAGCCTATGAAGAGGGAATTGGAGGGAGGGCTTATTGCAATATCGTTGATGAGGCTTGGGGTTAACACAGGTCCGCCTCCTCTTCGTCAGCATCCCTCCACTCGCCTTCCTCTTCATCCTCCGTGCTCCGTGCTGCCATCTGGATCTTCCCTCCCCCCTCGTCATCCTCCCCTGACCAGCGCACGGCACGGCAAGCGGCGGCTCAACACGCCACGGACACGGGACCAACGCCGGCGCTCTCGCAGCGCAGCCCACTGACGTCGTCAAGCCGGGCGCGCAGCAGCTCGTCAAGCCGGTCGCGCAGCAGCTCGTCCAGAGTCCCCGCGCGCTCGGCCGCGCGGGCCTCGTGCTGCGCGAGCGTGGGGCACCGCCAGCCCAGCGCCTCCAGCTGCCGCAGCCGCAGCAACACGGAGCCGAGCGGCTGCCGCGACCACACCGCCAGGTCTCCAGGGCCCAGCAGCCACAGCGCCAGCCGCGCCTGCGGAAACGCGCAGTGCACCCGCAGCGCCTGTGCGACGCCGTGGGAGCGCTCGTGGGGCATCCGCAGGCGGACCAGCGCCCCAGACACGGCGTCAAGGCACCGCTCCTCCTCGTCCAGGTGGCCCCCCCAGCTGGCCCGCGCTGGCGCTGCCCGGGCGCCCGCCGCCCTGTCGAAGCTCCGCAGCCACGCCTCGCCTTCGGCGCGCGTCGGGGCCGCAAGCGCGCCCTGCAGCGCCACCGCCGCGGCGAGCCTGGCCGCCTCGCCGCGCGCCTGGGGCGGAAGCGCATCGAAGAGCGCGCGCGCCTCCTGCAGCGTGGCAGCGCGCAGCGGGGCCCCGAGGGCGGTGCAGGCCCACACCAGGCGCAGGCGCGCCGCCGCGTCGTGGGCGTCCTCCCCGCCCGCATCGACACGGCTCGCGCCCGCGGCGAGGGCCGCTGGCGCAAGCCGCGCCGCGAGCGCGGGCTCCCAGCCCATCTCGGCGAGCGCCCAAGCCAGCAGGGCGGCCCAGCTCTCCGCCGCCACCTCGGCGGTGCCGTCGCCCTCGGCGGCAGGCGCCAGCGCGGCGCCCAGCGCCGAGGCGAGGTCGCGCGCGGAGGGGCCGTCGAAGCCGAGGCGCGCGCAGGCGTAGGCGAGCAGGGCGGCGGTGCGCAGGTCCGTGCCGGCGGCCGCGGGGCCGTGCGCCGCGGACGTGATGCGCTCGTCGAGCAGCATCTGCAGCTTCAGGCGACGGTGCAGCTGGGCCCTCACGACGCCGCGGCCAGCCTCGGGCAACTCGGCCAGCGCGCCAAGCACGCGCAGGAAGCAGCTGTCGGAGCAGCGGTCCGCGCGCAGGGCCCGCGGCAGCTGGCGGCACACGCTCTCGAGCAGCAGCGCGTCGGCCACGCCGAGGCCCTGCAGCGCCTCCAGCAAGTCCGCCATCTGGCGCGCCTCGTAACGCCACCAGCCCTGGACGGCGCGCCGGACCGTGCCGAGGAGCCCGTCCACCATCTCAGGCCCGCGCGTGGCCTCGAGCACGTCGGTGGGGAGCCTGGAGAAGACGTGCAGCACCTGGACGGCGTCCTCGGCCTTCCAGCGCCGCAGCAGCTGGTCCGAGTCCGAGAGCAATGCCCGGATGACCCGCTTCGGTGTGTATTCGGCCTCGGCGAGACCTACCAGTGTCTCTACAACATTTTTTGGGTGCAGCAGGTGCTGCTGCATCAGCACCCGCTCGCAAAGAATGCGGAATAGGGTCTCGTCGTCGACGCCAGCAGCACCCAAACCATATATAGTTCTGGCCAACTGGAGCGCTGAGAAGCTGTGGATAATTGACTTCATGTGCTTCTGCATGGCCCGGAAGAGGCCTCGGTGCGCGTACTCGATGCTCGCAAATGCGACCACCACGGTGGAGATGTCATGAGCGCTCATGAACTTCACCTTGGCGGAGAGAACGTGGCCGAGGTCCTTGAAGAAGCCATCGTCCACCACACCAGCGTTGCTGAAGGTCCACGCCAGGGTGCACAGGTCGCGTGGGGCGTCGAACTCCAGCATGCGCGCCCGAATGACCGGTGCAAACACGCCCATCAGCAGGTCGCTGTCCGCGAGCCCAACGCGCGAGTACGTCCACGATATCTGCACCAGCTCCCTGGCGGGGCACAGAAATCTATGAGCCTCGGCACCCTCGCTCCGCCGCTTCCCCCCGCTACGGCGACACGTGCGGTGCACAGATTTCAGGCTCCTGGACGGCCAGGAACCCATGGCTCCTGACACTTCCCCTGTCCCTCTGGGGGGGCTGCTGTAAAAGGTCAACCGGGTGAGGTGCCCAGACTCTCCGGCGCAGACCTCGGGCTGCACTGCTCGACCTGCTGCTCCAGCAGCTGCCGGAACCTACCGAACATTACCCCATGGCTGAAGTTCAAGTTTGCGAACGCCCACAGGATCGAGGCGACGTCCGGCATGTCGAATGCATCCGCCAGCTCTGTGGCCTGCTCGGCCATGCGCGCGAAGAAGGGCTCGTCGCGAACGCCCAGCCGGGAGAACGCAGCGGCCGCAATGACCAAGTCCGTGGGCGTCTCGAGCTCCCCGGCACGCTCACGCATGGAGTCGACCACCGCGGTCTGAAGGGCTTGGGCCTCAGGGGAGGCGTGGAGGCCGTGCGACTGCGCCAGGCAAGACAGCGTGGCGCTGAGGTCGCGCATCGAGAAGGCCGAGTGCCTCTCGCGGCACAGGTCGATGAGCGCCGGAAGCCAGGCGGGGGACAGCTCGAGCTGGCCCAGGGCCCAGAGGACGTTGACCATGCCGTGCGGGTCGAGGTCCCCGAGGCGTGCGGACAGGGCGCCGAGCAGATGGTCAAAGCGTTCGTAGGCCACCAGCTGCGAACGGGACCCCCTCTCCAGCTTGGCGAGGCGGTAGACCTGGAGGCCTTCCAGATGGAGTCGGAGTGGTGAACGGGGTCGGAACATCGCGCCGCATCGTCGATGCATCACAGATGCATCGGCGATGCATCGGCGACGTCGGCGTGGAGAAAATCTGGCTCCACATCGAGCCGCATCGCCGATGCATCGGCGATGCGGCGCAACCCCTCGACCCCCATATATACTCGGACCCGATTTGGGGGGCCTAGACGACCGCCGTCGCCAGATTGACGGGGTCCATGCTGGCCACCTCTGCCTCGGAGCAGAGGGCCAGAATCCGCGGTGCGCTGCGCGCAGCGACGAGGTCCTGCTGCACGGCCAGCCTGTCCGGGGACATGCGCAGCAGGCTCCAATCGCCGCCCAGGTCGCCCTTCGTGAGCGCGCGCTGGACGCGCTGCTCCGCCTCCGCCCGGCGCACGCTGAGCCCGCCCATGTGCCGCGAGGTCTCGGAGACGGCCTCGGCGGGGGCCGCGAGGCCTCGGTGCGCTGGAGCGGCAGGCGCCAGGGCGTCGCCGCGCGTTGCCAGGGCACCGCTGTCGGCCAGCAGCGCCGGCTCGGGCCCCGCCGCCGGCGGCGGCGCTGCGCCGAGCTCCACCTGGCCGGCGCCGCCCCCCGCGAGGCCGAGCCGCGCGCCCAGACCGCCCGGCACCCCCACCCGCACGTCCACCAGCACGCCCGCCCGCGCGTCCGCCGGCGCGGGCGCCACCGCCCGCGGCACGGGCTCGTCCTCCGCGAAGCCGCGCTCGAACTCGCTGGCGTCCAGCTCGGGCTCCTGGCGCCCAGGCGGCGCGAGCGCCCCTCCGCCGCGCCGCAGGGCGCCGCCCGCGCCGCGGCAACGGGGCGGGCGGCGCGGGGGCGCCGCGCGCAGCAGCATCGGCGCGCAACGCCGCGTTGGCCGGCCGCCACCTGGCGCGCAGCCAGCGCCCCTGGCCCCTGGAGGCCTGGGCCGAACGGCTACGGACCTCGCGTCCGCCCCCCCAGCCGTGCTCCGCACACTCCTCCCGATCCGTTCCCCTCCTCCTCTCGCTGATCCTGGTCTGTGGTATGTGCTTCCTCCCCCTCGTCCTGCCCCCTGCTGCCAATCACCACCCTCCTCCTCCTTTCCCCCCCCCCCTCCCTTGTGCTGCCTCTCCCCCTTGTCCCTTGTGCTGCTCTCTCCTGCTTGAGCGGCTCGGTCCCCTCAGCTGTGCAACTTCAGTATCCCCCCTGCGACTTCCGAAAGCAACAGCACCCGCCCACCACACAAACACGTCAACATCACCTTTCTACGCACCCAGCCTTCGGCGTCCGGTGCGCCGCAACACTCCGAAAACCCCGCTCCGCTGCCCGTGAGGTGCTCATCCGACCTATCTCTACTGGCTGTCGGTCTTTCCCCTCGGTGCCCTCCTTTTTGCCGCTCGCAAGCAACAGGCCGCACTCAAGGGGCCCCAGGACACACAAATAAATACACACAAATAAAATAATTCCCCATATGTTCCTATATTTTCTGGCTTTTTGTCTTCCCGCCCAATTCCCATATGTTCCCATCTTTTCTGGGGGATCGACGATTAATTGTGTCTGTGTGTTTTTTCTCCTCCTGACGCACGCAATCTGCGCGTGGCTTTGGACGGTGCGGCCCTCACAGTGAGAGCTTCGACACCGCTTCGTCACCGACGTCCGCCGACCTCGGCGGGGAGACGGCTCCGGCTGGCTGATCCTCCCTCCCGCGCCTCGCCCAGACCAGGTGGTCTGTCTGCGCAGAGGCACTGCCTGCGCTGCCGGCGGCGGCGCTGCTGGCGGCGGCACTGCCCCCCTGGGTCTGCCTGAGCTGACAGCGGCGGGCCTGCGCCCGCAACGTTCGAAAAGGTCAACCTCCGCCTCGGCCGTGGCACCCGTAGGCTCCGCGGGGCCTGCCGCACCGCCGGCGCTCCTGGCAGCAGCGTGGAGTGGCCGGGCCTCAGCGGACGACAGGCTGTCCACGGTGAGGCTCATAGACCTGGTCCTATCTGGTCCTGTCCACGGTGCAGTTCATTGACGCTGTCCACGCGCCCGCCTGGGTCAGGTCCCTGTCCACTGTGTGGGTCGTGGGCTCGGAGGACTTACAGTCGGGGCGTTGACCTAAGGAACCCTAAATAAGGAACGAGGCCCCTGCTTTCCATAAGTTAAGCTTCGATTTCCTATCGAAAAAACATAAAGAAAACCTGAGGCAAGCTGTGAAACACTTAAGGAACGCGGAGCCCCTCCCCAACCAAAAGGGTTCCTTCTTCAGGGCCCCGACTGTACTGTTGCTGGTAGAGGTTGGGTCGGAGCTAGGCCTCCGTTTCAGAACGACAGGCTCCATTCATGGCGACCTGCAGTCGCAACATGTGCGCTTAGTGGTCAGGATGGTCTCGAACCTCGGGCCCATGGCTTGCACAGCGGACGGGGCACGGTTGCATTACCACCTGGGCGGGCTGGGCTGCAACCTCGAGCCATGCACAATGGCAAACGAAGACAGGTGATGATGATGATGAGGAGGAGGAGGAGGAGGAGGAGGAGGAGGGGGAGGAGGAGGAGGAGGAGGAGGAGGAGGAGAAAAGAAAGTGCAAGTGCATTAAGTGAATCACTACCACTTCGGCCCCTTCTCTTCGGAGGCCCATATGCCTCTGAGTTCGTCCGCCGCGTAGGACGTGTAGACGGAGAACTTCGCGCTGGCGGCGGCATCGAAGCCGCTGCTCTGGCCAAGCCTGATGGGATAGGAGTTCCAGAAAGCAGCCTGGAGCATCAGAGGGACATGAAGACGCGAATCCTGAAGAGGACTGGAGCACGCCAAAAATCCCAAGGTGGAGGAGGAGGACAAGTGCAAACCCAAGACTCACCACGATGTTGGAATGTACCCTCCCTCCAAGCTCCCTCTTCACAGGCCCAGACAAAAGCTCATGTCCACTAAGGGAAATGCCCCGTGAGGGACAACCGTGCGAAAACCCTAAAACGTGCCAAAGCACCTTTCTCAGGATTTCATCGCCGCGATTCCATTTGACTGCTGCGTCTTGGCGACCCTGAATCGTGCCAGAACACCATGCCTGGGACTTCAACACCACGAATACAAGTAGCTGTTGATTCCTGACAATCCAGAAACGTTCCAAAACAAAAGTTCTGGTACACTCGCCATGAGAACCAATGAACCACTTGCAACTTTTGACAACGAACGTACGCGAATCTAACGCAAAACGGCGCGAATGCGAGAACCACACTTTGAAAACCACCCGCCCTCAATCCGTGAAGCTCTGGCAAGGTATAAAAATGGATGTTGCGCGGCGCTGAAGCGAGAACCACATTTTGAAAACCACACGCCCTCAATCCGTGAAGCTTAAAAAAGCAAATGTGCGCGGCGCTGAGGCGAGAACCACATTTTGAAAACCACTCGCCTTCAATCCGTGAAGCGCTTGAAAGTTTGAGAAGAATGTTCGCGGCCCTCAGGAAGGAGCCACATTTTGAACGCGACCCGCCCTGTATCTGTGAAACTTTTACAAGTTTTTGAGCTCTGGGCTCATAAATCGCAAGGCCCACCCTTCTGACTCGCCTCGGAGTGCGACAGTGAAGAATTATTCACAAGGCATAAGAATGCAGGGGGAGTGGCAGGAAGACGGGGAGGCAGAATCTGCCCCCCCTCCGTTACCCCCCTCCCCGCCCCCCACCATCGGCCCGCCCGCCCTCACGACGACGACGACGACGAACGACGACGACGACGACGACGGCAGCAGTGACGGCCAAGGCAACGACGAAGGCGGCGGCGGCAACGGCGACGATGGCGACGATGACGCAACACGCGCCACGACCGCGACGACGCCGACATGGACAACGGCGACGAAGACGTCGAGGCGCGCAGCCGATCCGCACCGAACCACGGAGTGGGGAAACAGCCCACCCTGCAGGTCCGGTGAAACAGCACATCGTTGAGCGGTGCCGCAGCCTCCCCTGAGCACAGGTCACCCCCCCGGAGCATCTCCGCCAGACAAGGGACGAAGTTGCATCCTCATGCCCGGCTGGACTCTGGGCTCTGGGCGCGTTTCGGCACGGTCACTGCCGCCACCACCCATTCGTCAGGGCCACCGACTCGGGCGACGGCGACAGCGACAGTGGCGGTAGCCGACGCATCCCAGAGCCAAGAAGCTAGAGGTAAGAGGATGGATGGGGATGGCGGAGGGAGTTGGGGGAGGTGGAGGGGGGGCGCAAGAGAAGATCCGACACGCAGGGCCAGCTCGACTTTATCGAGGGCGGCCAGCGGGCCTCAGCGCTGCCCAAGTGAAACCGGACTGCCGTGCAGCTGCGGAAAAGCACACGGCACGAAAGGAGCAAGCGTGGTGACTCGGCGAACCAGGCCTCCAGGCGTCGCGAGAAGAACAAGCGCAGCGACGGTGCGACCAGGCCCTGGGGCCCTCAAGAGACGGCTCGGGACGGGAGGGCCGTCGTGGGGATTGGCGCCGGAATCGCGGGGGTCTCGTGGGGCCGACGCCGTGGAGAAGCGGCGCGGAGCGCCAGAGGTCTGGGTCGGCGGCGAGGCGGGGGAGCTCACACGTGAGGCAAGCTTGCGCCGCTCCCTGGCCCCGAGCGGAGGCGCGCCACAGACTACAGCCTACGGTCCGACCAGGGACTCCAACACATAGAGTGGGGGCCAATCCACAAGAAACCTTCCACGAGAAATCCAACCCTGAGACCCCAGGACGTCCATTGATTTTTGGTGTGGGAACGTCACGCTTTCCTTCGAAAAACCATCGAAACCCAAGAAGCCCACGGCGCCCTGGAGGCAAGCAGCGTGTTTCTTGGCATGGGCCCCACTGTACACAGGCAACTCAGGGTCCCACAAGAAGAGGCAGGCCCGGGAACACAACAGTCTACAGCCTGGCGAGTGCCAGGCAATGCCAAGGGAGGTCACAATCAGGGTGGTCGCCACCTCTTCGAGGAGAACGATCCCTCAGGAGCCCCGAAGAACCCATCACAACCTCCACGTCTTCGAAATTCGTCAAAAATCTCCTCCGCTCTTCATCCTCGAACCTCGATGCTCAGGAGGAGCTGGCGACACCTTTAATCCGTGGTGACCCATGAAAAACACGGTGGGGTCCAGACTTTGAATGACGCCTGCAGCGTCGACTGGACCCGTAGGGGTGGAATTCGCAAGTGGTCGCAGATGAAAGTGACCAGGGGGCCCCCAAGACTGAGCATCCTTTAACCGATCCCTATCCTCACTGGCGTGGCCTGGGCACCACTGGCCGATTCACCCCCCCAGATGGGGAGGTAGGCTGTTCCCCTCGGATCTCGAGGGGTACATCCCCAACTGGGGTGGTGAGATGGTGGGTATCGGGATGGGAATGGAGATGGGGATAGGGATCGGCTGAGCGATACTGAAAAACAGAATTCGGGGGGCCCCCTGCAAACAAAAAACAAAAAACAGAGGGAGGGAGGCGGCCACGGGTCAGCAAACCTCGCCGACCTCGCCGACCTCAAGCTCCGCGGATGGGGGCGGCGGCGCGGACACCTCGGTCGTCTCCCGCGTCTCCTGGGGGGCCCTGACGATCTCTGAAGTCGTCTCTCTGAAGTCGTCTGGGACCAAAGCCTCGTTGGAGTAGGGGGTCGAACACAGAGTTGATGCAATTACCCCGAAATTGTGGTTCTTCGAATATAAGGAAAAAACTCAGTAGGTCTACGATAATTCTGCGTATTTTCGTAGATTCGACGAGCAAGTGTTATTTGGGGTGGATGAGTACTGTAGTTGATCTTCAACTCAGCTCGTGGCCCCGGGGCCGTCGTTGCAGCTGGTCTCCCCAGCGCGCCCATGTATCGAGGAAAGCGCCCGGCGGCGGGGCCGAAACCAGCTGAATGCAGCAGATGTCCGATCTCCCCCCGTTCGTCCGACCCGGGTCTTGCCCACGAAGGACGTGCGCGCCCACGAAGGACGTTCGTGCCCAACCACGCACAGGAACACGGCCCCCCCCCAGCCCGCAAGAGCAGCCGCGTGATGCAAACGTTCGCGCAATGCGTACGCTCGAAACCAACGCGGGCTCATGCACTGCACGTGCGCACGTGTGCGTCCTCCTTTTTGCTCCTGACCTCTGGGGCCCGCGTCATGTAGCCTTGGGGAGCAACAGGGCCTGAGGGAAACGGGTCCTGGACCCTGGGCCCTTCCCCAAGGCCCCAAGGACGAGCTCTTCACCCTGAATCGTTGCCTGAAGGCCCTGGGGCCCGTGGAGGGCCGGGAGAGTCCGAGAGCGGCGAGAAACCTTGGGACCTGCTTCCCCCATGGCGATCTGCTCTTCACGCTGAATCCTTGCCTAACGGTCCTGGGGCCCGTGGAGGGCCGGGAGAGTCCGAGAGCGGCGAGAAACCTTGGGGCCTGCTTCCCCCATGGCGATCTGGGAGGAGCAGCCGCGGCGGCACCGGCACCAAGAGGAGGATCGGAGGGCAGTGGCCTGCCCCGACGGGTGCGGGCTGGGGTGAGCTGCCAGGGCATGATCTGGGCATGGGGTTGAATACAGCCGCGAGTGCGATCAGAATAGTGTCACCTAAGAGGCATGGGCCAGCTTGCTGGGAGCTGCTTGAAACAAGCCTTGGCCAGCTTCTGTAATTGACGCTGGAGGGACGAACGTGCCCGAGAATCTGGGCCAGCTACCCGGCAAGTTGGTAAAACAAACAAAACACGCTGGCCCAGCTTTTCGGGGGGCCACGACAGCGGCAAAACTGCAGCGGAAGACGCTCGCCCAGCAAGAGAAGGCGAGGTACGCGTCCTCCCTGAGACGTACTCCCAGACATGCGACGTCTTGATTTTTTTCAGGACGGCGTCCCTGGAAGTCCCGACCCTTTCCCCGGGACCGGTTTTTAATAATCCCGAGGCCCGGCGAGGGCCCCCGAGGGCCGAAAATTGCCAGAAAACCTCCTGTCCTGATCTTGTTACATCGCGATCATGTCTGGGCTAGAATCTAGAAAACATGATTCGCAGAAAGAATATCACCGCCGTGCCTGACCAGGGCCATCCTGGGCCCTGGCACGGGGCAGACGGCCTCGTCATCGAGGCAAGCAGGCCCATACTCTTTTCTCTGTATACAGAATCCCAAGGCCCAGAATGGCCCTGGCCAGGCACGGTGGTAGCCCAGGCATGATCGTGTCGGAAAAAATCAGGACGGGAAGTTTCTTGGCAACTTTCGGCCCCCGGGGGCCCTCGCCGGGCCTCGGGACTGTAAAAAAAACGACTCAGGACGAAAAACGGTCCCAGGGAAAGGGTCGGGACTTCCAGGGACGCCGCCCGGAAAAAATCAGGACGTCGCATGTCTGGGAGTGCAAGTATGAATGCCTTCTGTCGGAACAGGGCGAGCGGAAACAACGGCAGCTCAAAATCGGTCCCCAGACCCCTTCCGGGGATCCAAACGCACCAATTTTCCGAGGGGGGCCTCCCGAAGGCTAACTACCGTAATCTCAACTCGTCCTCCTGCTGCCGAAAAGATTTGCGCAGCCAGAGGAACACACACACACACAAAACAAAAAAAACGCCTGGAGGACTCCAGGTCCTCGATGGGCTCCTTCGATGCAGCCCCCCCCCCGCCAGGCGCCTTAAGTTTGACGACGGCGACGCCAACGACGACAACGACGACGATGACGGAAGCGGCGACGCCGACGATGCCACGGCGACGATATGACGGCGACGGCGAGGACGTCGGGCGACGGGTGACGACGGCCAAGGCGACGGCGACAACGGCACGGCGACGGCAGCGGCGGCGCCGACGACCAGCACGGCGGCGACGGCGACGGGCGGCGAAGGCGACGACGGCGGCGGCGACTACGACTAATTGCGACAGCTGGCCTGGCGACCGTGCAGCGCGTCCGCTGCGGCCGCCCTTCGAGGCGGGCGCCGCCGCGAGGCCCCGCGGGCTGCTCGAGCTCTCGGACGGCGCAGGGCACCCCTCGCCGCCCCGGGCCGCCCCGCCTTCCACTCCAAGCGGCCCGTCGGCCGTGGAGCCGCCGTCCGGCGGCGTCACGAAGGACAGCGCGCAGGAGAGCCCGCGGCGCGCCGGCGCGCCGCGGGGCCCGGGCGAGACCTCGGCCAGGTAGGCGGCGCCCGGCTCCAGCCCGCGCAGCTCGTGCGCGCACCCCTCCGCCAGCTCCGTCCACGGCTGCCGGCTCACGGCCCCGTGGAGCGGGATCAGCCGCACGGTGTGCGGCGCGGCCGGGCCCGCGTCGCCGCTCCACTCCAGGCGGGCCGACCGCGCGTCCAGGCGCCCGACCCTCAGGAAGCGCAGGGCCCTCGGCGCCGAGGCCGCGGCGCCGCCCTCCGCCGCCGCCGGGGCCTGGCTCGTGCAGGCGCGCGCCCGCTGCCCCGCGCCGCACGGCACGCCCCCGCGCACGGGCGTGACCGTCGCCTCCAGGGCGGAGGCCGGGGCCAGGCCCCGGAAGGTCCACGCGACGCGTCCGCTCACGGGATCCGCGGCGCCCGAGGCAACCACCGCGATCTGCACCGCGTCGTGCGGGGCGCGGTGGCCGTCGCCATCGGCCAGCGGCCTCAGGCTGCACCAGTACTCCTCCGCCCCCCCCTTCCGGTGGCCCAGCGCGGCCCACGACACCTCGACCCAGTCTGGACCGCTCTCGGCGGCGATGGCGGTGACCCCCTGGCCCGGTGCGTGCGCGATTCTTGCGTTCAATAGCTGCGTCAGGGCGTCGCCCAGCCAGAACAGCTCGACGAGCACGTAGAGCACCGTGAAGAAGACGTTGGCGGCCCTGGTGGCATCCGCCAAAGCGCCGCTGCGCTCGGCCGTGATCAAGAGGTAGACGGTCAGCACCACCTGGGGCACGTCGCGGTAGAGCATGGTCCCGGCGATGGCGACGGTGCGGAACCAGCGGCAGCTCAGCACCGCCGACTCTGGTGGCGACGACTGCAGGCCACAGAGGAGGCAATGCTTGCCACCGGCCTGCGCCTCCCAGGCAGCAAGCGGCTCCTGAGAGGAGCCGAGAAAGGGGGGCTGGCTCAATGTGTGTGATCATTTTCTGTCGAAGGATCTCAGCGCCGTGGATCGCCTGCAGCCCTAGGAAATAAAGAAAACCATCATTAAAAGGGTCGCAGGTTTGGTGACAGATCGATCTCAGCGTCGGACACTTCAGACTAGCGTTCCTGATCATTTCGTATCGATTGGCGTGCATCTGGCGAGGGGCACCGACCTTGCCAACGGCAATGCGTTGCGGACAGATCCGCGGTGCGCGGCAGGCCCCCACAACCCCGCGCCCCCGATGATCACACCCTGGGGATCATAACGCTTGGGGTGCCAGAACAGTTGTCCTGGCAATTCGCATGTAGTGCGAGTGTACGGTGTACGGATGTACGGATGTACGGATGTACGGGGTGTGCAGATGTACGGATTTACGGTGTACGGGTGTGCGGATATACTCGCGGGGCGCACGCCACACGCTCGTGACTTGGGAAGGCCGATGTGGTGAGAATCCCATGGCCCTGCAACACGTTCGTGACTTCGGTCAGCTGACAGGGTGAGAACCCCGTTGCCCTGCCACACTCTTTTGTGACTTGGGAAAGCTGAAACGGTGAGAACCCCATCGCCATGCCACGCGTTCGTGATACTGTTGCTTCTCAGCAGAAGAGGATAGCAACTTCAATTCGTACATTCCTGGGCGAAAGCGAAAATGAAGTTCGGCCTCGCCGCCCCTCTCCCCCGACCAACTCTGTCTTGGACTGAGATAACACAACTGCACACGTTCCTGGGAGGGGTAGGTCACCCAGGCAATGCAGGCGCCTCCGAGCGGTGAGCGGGAAGCATATGTCCAAAGTCACGGCCTCACAGAGCGGACTTCTCGGCCGCGCCCGCGCGGATAGCAAGGCGGCTTTGTGCTGGTGCCCCGCGCGAGACTCATTCCTACAGGACCGCGCGCCCACGGGGTCGCACCTCGGCGCCCATACCGAGTGAGAACTTCCAGGGGAACTCCACGTGCGCACGGCACCGCATTCCGAGTGGACCCGCCTGGAAAACAAATCGACGTCCAAAAACAAGCGAATGTACGCGGCCAAACCACACTTCGACCAGCCAAACCGCATAGGGATTGCACATGCACATCCGAATGCCCAGTGCAGACGTCCTCAGTCGATTTGTCTGGGCGGGCGTTCTCTCAATGCCCGAGATATGAAAGTTCAGATCCACTCAAAATCCGCCTGTGGACACCCCCCAAGATTCACCGGATTCAACTGTACATCCCGGATGGACTGTTGACCGTCCTGGGGCTCGAGAACGGCACCTGGCCACCGAGAGCGACGAAAAGCATCGGCCCTGCGACCTCCGATGTGTTTTTTCCAAGCCATCCTGTGGTGGTGGGTCCTCGTTTTGAAGAGACAGCGCCCCGCGTCACTCCTCGCCTTTCCCCCTCCTCCTCCCCCTCCTCCCTCCTCCCATCCCTGCCTCTGCCCTCCGCATATCAAAATGTCGGCACCCTTTGGGAGCTCCACCGAAGGCTCCAGGGGGGTGTACCACATGCCGCCCATTTCGGCTCCTCTCACGAGTTTTCGCGGTCCCATGGGGAGCTCAACCGAAGGCCCCAGGGGGGGGGATACCATCTGCGGCCGCCCCAGTCATTCCGGCACACTCTTCACACGCTTCGTGTCCCTGTAGTGAGCTCCATCGAAGGCCCCAGAGGCGGTATCCACATGCCGCAGCCCGACCAGTTCCCGCACACCCCTCACAAGATCCGTGGCCCCGTCGGGAGCTCCACCGATGGCCTCGGTTGCGGTGTCTACATGTGGCCTCCCCATCTATTTCGGCTCACCCCTCACGAGGTTTCGTGGCCACAAGAGAAGCTCCACCGAAGACCCCAGTGCAGGGGCCCGCATGCCACGCTTCGTGGACTCATACGGAGCTCCACCTACAGACCTGGTGACAGCGCCTGCATGGCGGCCCCGCCCCATGTCAGGCACACCCATCACACGCTTCGTGGCCCCATGAAAAGCCCCCCCCCTCTCTGTATCAAAATTCCCAGTGGCAGCGCCCGCATGGCGGCCCCCTCATTTCGGTACACCCTTCACACGCTTCGTAGCTCTACTAAGAGATCCACCGAAGGCGATATTCACAAAAAACACCTCAACCGCATATTGTTGGGTCCTTCGCCAGGGTCATCTTCCAATCCGCGGACCAAAATGAAGTCCAGAACAGATGGCCCTGAGGCCCGATAGCCAGCCCCAGGGTTCAATCAATATCGAGGGAAAACAAGAATATCGAAACTACAGAATGAGCGCGTTTCACGGGCGCTTGCCTTGGGAACATTCGGCGGCGCGTTTCTAACCCCCCCGTCCCCAAACCCGCCCCCCCCCGATGGGGGGAAGGGAGTTCGAACCCCCTTCCTGGGGAAAGGAGCAGGAGATTCGAACTCCGCCAATATTTTCTTTTCCGGCTTCCCGAGGGAGGGGCGAACCCACCCTTCCCTGTCCCCTCGGTACCGGTGCTGGCGCCTGCTCCGGCGAGGGCCGGCAGCACCAATGGCGGGGACGCAGCGACGATGACCCCAGAGAGCCCAGAGGCCGCAGCGGAAAATACGAATCGCCATATCGAGCCCTCGCTCCCCAAAAGCCACCTGGGGCCATTCGGAAGTTCCAGAAGACGCCCAAGAAGCGCACAGGAGCCCTCACGCATGCGCCTCAAACGCCCCCGAGAACCCTCTGACGAGACCCCAAGAGGCATCCATTAGAACTGTGACCCAAAGCCAAGACACGGTGGTGGGAAGACCCGAAGGCCACACCACCACCACCACCACAAACAACCACACCACCACCACCACCGCCACCACCACCACCACCGCCACCACAACCACAACCCACCACCACCACCATCATCGCCACAAACCACCACACAACCACCACCACCAATCACCACCACAACCCACCACAACCCACCACAACCACCACAATAAACCACCACACCACCATCACCACCGCCAACACAACCCACCAGCACCAAAACCCACCACCACCACCACAAACCACCACACCACCACCACCACCACAACCACCACCGCCACCCCCACCCCCACCACCCACCACCCACCACCTCCACCAGCACCACCACCACCAGCACCACCCACCACAACCACCACCACGCCACCACCACCACCACCGCCACCACCACTACCACCACCACCGCCACCACAATCACAACCCACCACCAACACCACCATCACCGCCATAAACCACCACACAACCACCACCACCACCACAGCCACCACCACCACCACCACAACAACCCACCACCACTACCACCACCACTACAAGCCTCCACATCACCACCACCATCGACGCAACCACCACCACTATCACCACCACAACCCACCACCACCACCACCACCAACACCACCACCACAAACCACCACACCACCACCACCAGCACCACACAACCACCACACAGTCACCCCACCACCACAACCACCACCACCACCACCACCATAAACCACACCACCACCACCACCGCCACAACCACCACCTCCACCAGCACCACCACCGCCACAGCGTCAAGAGCTCACAACAAGTACACCCCCTCTAAGATGGTAGATGTGTGCCGCGCCTCGCGTGCCGAGACCGGATGCTCCGCAGACGCTTCCGTGTGCGTGGGCGGCGTTGACGTCGTCATCGTCGTCGCCGTCGTCGCCAACGTCGCCGTCGTCGTCGTCGTCGTCGCCATCTTCGTCGCCGTCGCCGTCGTCGGTTTTCGTCGTCGTCGTCGTCGTCATCGTCGTCGCCGTCGTCCTCGTTGACGCTCCCCGCCGCCGCCGCCAGCCGCCTCATGCGCTGGCGCCCGCCCAGAAAAGTAAGTCGTCGTCTTCATCGACGCTTTCCGCCGCCGCCAGCCGCCGCCGACGCTGGCGCCGGCCTGAGGAGAGGGAAAGAGGAAAGTAGGGGAGGAAGGAGGAGAGGGGGGTGGTTCGAACCCCCACCCACCCCCTCCCCCGTCACTGGAGAATGGGGGGAGGGGGGGTGGGGGGCCGAATTCCCCCCCTTCAATCCAGGGAAGGGGGGGTTCGAACACCCCCCCCTTCAATCCAGAGGAGGGGGGGGTCCGGTTCCAAACCTCCAAACGCCCAGTGAACGCGCTCTATAAAATTACAAAGGCCGAGCCACATGCAGTTGCGAATGCAGTCGATGTGAATATCGCTTTTGTGGAGCTCCCATGGGGCCGCGAAACGTATGAGGGGTGTGCCGACATGGGTGGGGCGGCCACATGCGGTGTACCCCCAAGGGGGGCCGCGGCCGCATGCGCCCCCCCCCCCCCTCTCCCGCCCTCCCGCCCAGTGTACAGCGCTTCGTGGTCCCATAGGGAGCTCCACCGTAGGCCCCAGTTACCGCGGCCGCATGCGTCTCTCTCACCCAGAACACCGTTTCGTCGCCCCACACGGAGCTCCACCGAAGGCCCCAGTGGCCGCGGCCGCATGCGCCTCCCGTCCCCGCCCAGTGCAGCGCTTCGATCTCCCCCGAAGACCCTGGTGGCCGAGTCCGCATGCTTCAAGGACCCTAAGTGGCCGTGTCCGCTGGCGTCCGCACGCGTTCATAGCCCCTCACAAGAAACTCCGCCGAAAGCGGTGCCCACAGCGCCATACCCACAACCACCTGTGGTTGGGCCCTCCGCCGGGATGCACAGCTTCAACGCGTTGGGTCTCTGCATGGAGCTCCTGCCACACGGCGAGCGCCTCCGAGGCGGGAGCCTGCCGCGCCCCCGCCGCCGCGGCGACGCCGCCGGGCGGCGCGGCGTGCGCCGCGGAGGCCTCCAAGCGGCGCCCCGCCGCGGCCGTGGCCTCGCGGTCGTCCTGCGGCCGCTCCGACGTCCCGGCCGCCGCCGCCGCCGCCATTGCCACCGCCGACGGTCTGATTGTTCCAGCCGACGGGTTTTCCTCGATGTCCAAAATCGGTAAGGATGCAAGGGCCTTGGTTGCCCATGTCAACGTGTTCTCGAACGAGGTTGGCCAGCGAAAGTGGCCAAGGACGGGCCGAATGGCCTGGGATGCAATGGTACCTTTGGGAAGGTTGCCCATCCTTACCATGCGGGTGGATTGTACATCTCCGCCGAGCTGAGATGTTTGGATCAGGGCGTTCCTTCGATGTCGGCCCCTGGGGGCCCTCCTCCGTCCTCGGGCCCCCGGGGGCCACCAAAAACGGATCCTGGGCAAAAGGCTGCCCCTGGGGGGGAAGGGTCGGGGCCTCTGGGGCCGCAGATGGAAGCATGGTAGGGCCACGAGCCCCGACCTCATCTCGATACAAGACGTCGCTGGGCGAACCGGGGACACCGCACAAACCGACCTGGGCGGCCCGGGCACCCTGTGGCCCTGGCAAACCCACACGGCGGGTCGGTTTTTATTCGGACTCCGCCCGCAGGGGTGCTCACTGGGCCCTGGGGCCGTCAAACACCTGCTCGCGGGGTGCCAAAACGGGTGTGGTGCGTTCTTGGTGCGTTTTTTGTTTGCAGGGCCCTTAAGCGAAGACGACGACGCCGTCGACGAGGTCGAGGACCAGAGACGACCACAACCGCACAGAGCCGCGAGCCCCGACCCTAGAGCACTGCGCGTTCCCGCGTTGTGGCGTTCTACTTGCGGGCCGAAGCAGGCCGCTCGTGGCTGTGCGAAAGGCTGTCTTGGAAGCTCGTGTAACCACCGTGGTCGCCCGAGGGCACTGTTTGTGCGCTTGTGTTCCTGGACTGCACATTGGCAGCGTGTGAAGCGGGGCCTTTCTGGGGCCTCCGTGGGGTGCCCGTGGGATGCGCTGCAGACGCATCGGAGGAGGGGCGCTCGGAATTCCAGCGGAGCTCCTCGGGGCTCCTCTGCCGTGGGCCGGACCTGCGAGGCAGAGCCTTGTTCGGAGAGAGCTGGGAACAGGGAGTCGTGCATTCGTTCCCGCATCGTCCGCATCCTGCATGGAGCGAATGAAGCCTCGGCAGGGTTCCTGAATAGGGTAAGGCAGCGCGGAGCGGGGAAGATAGGAATGGGGGAGCGAATCAGGGCGAGAAGGGGCTCGGGCCCGTCTGGGTTGCCTGGGCCCTCTTGGGCTGTCTTGGGGGGCTGGTGGGGCTCTCGACTCCTCTTGGGGGGGCCTGTTTGTTGCGCTCGGAAGATTCTCTCGGGAGCCTCTTGCGGCTCTCTGGAGCCCCGTTTAGGACTGTCTTTTGGTCATTGGGGGCCTCTTGGGCAGTCTTGCGCTGATCTGATGGCTCTTTCGGGAGACTTTTGGAGGCCTCTGGGGCCTCTCTTGAACCCTCACTCATGTGCCGTCCTCGAACCCGCTTGGACTGTCTTCGGGCTCTCCTGGGGCCCTCTTGGACGGTATCGTGTGCCGATCTTGGAGCCCTCTTCGGCCGTGGTGCAAGCTACGATGGTCAAAAAGGGAACATGTTAAAACCGGACGCTCTCCTAAGGAATGCCGTGATTGTCGCCTCTTCGGGGTCCTCTTGGGAACCTCTTGGGACATCTCGGGAGCCTCTGGGGCCGTCTTGAAGCTACCTGGAAGGCTCTATGAGCGATCTCAGTCTTCTGCCGTCTTCCGTCGGCCTCCCGCCCGTCACCAGGGCCAGATTTCGAAGGGCGTCCCCCCAGACCCCCAGGAGAACACTCAACGGGAGCCCCGTCCGCAAGGTCGGGGCACTCCGATGGGCGGGTCGTCGGTCGTGGGCGCCGCCGTCGGGGCACCGCCGTCGTCGCCGCCGCCGCGGCCGCGGCCTCGCGGTCGCCACAGGGGCCGCCCAGCGGCTGCGGCGGCGCCCAGTCGGCCTCCACGATCTCCAGCCGGCCTCCTGGACAGAAATCGAAGGAACGGCCCGAACACCCGAGCCCCTCCTAATTACAGTCGGGGCGTTGACGTCAGGAACCCGAAATAAGGAACGAGGCCCCTGTTTTCCACAGGTTAAACTTCGATTCCCCATCGAAAACATAAGGAAAGCCTGAGGCAAGCCGTGAACCAATCAAGGAACACCGAGCCCCTCCCCAACGAAAAGGGTTCCTTCTTCAACGCCACAAAGCGCTCCTCATTGCATCGTCTTGGCTGTGCTCAGGTCTGACGGTGCTGACCTCCCTCTCGGCTTCGGGCTGACAGTTTCCGGGCCATGAAGGTCGGGCCTCTGGCTGCCGTGCGGGATGATCTGGGAACTCCCAGGACGCTCTCGGCGAGGTGCAGCTGCTGGAAGCCACCCCGAGGCGTGAAAACTCCCAAGAGCCAACGAAGACATCTGAAAGCCACAGGAAAGAGGAGGTCTCCGCCCCCCCCTCCCGGACATCCGACGGGATGGCTTTGTACTGCGCGGCCCCAGGCCCCGACCCCTCCCCCAGGGCCCCGGGGCCCGATGACGGCCCCGAGGGCCGACGTCGAACCACGCCCGCATCGAAAAGGATCCGATCGGCGGAAAGACCTGCGGAAAGACCTGGGTCCTCCTCCCCCCCCCCCCCCCTCGGGGGCGACGATGGGGGCGACGAGCCCGGGGGAGAGCCATGCCCGCATCCAGCGGCGCCCGTGGCCCATGCCTCCGGCGAGGCTCCCGGGCGAATGCGCGCGACGGTGCCCGCCCCATGGGCCAAGCCGCCCCCGCCGTCGCCTCCGCCCCTCCCCGAGGGAGCCGCGCACGACGAGGCCCGGCGGCGGCTGCGCCTCGCCCCAGGCCGCGGCCGCCGAGTGCGGGCTCCGCCTCTCCGGCGGCGGGGCGCCCGCCGCCGCCTCCACGGCGCCCCGCGGCCTCGGCCGCGCAGGGCGCGACCGGGGGGGGGGGGGGAGCGCGGGGCGAAGGGCCGGGAGGAGGAAGGGCGCGGCCCGAGGGCAGGGTAAGGGTGCGCGGCAGGGGTGCGCGGGGCCCCTAGAGGCCTCCCAGATGGGGTTCGAGCAGATGGGGCGGGAGGATCGCGCCGCATCGGCGATGCATCGGCGATGCATCGGCGATGCATCGGCGATGCATCGGCGATGCATCGGCGATGCATCGGCGATGTATCGGCGACGTCGGCGGTGCATCGGCAACGCCAGCGTGGAGAAAATCGGGCTCCACATCGAGCCGCATCGCCGATGCATCGGCGATGCGGAGCGATCCTCCGATCCCATCTACTCCGACCCCATCTAGAAGGCCTAGAGCCCCGCACAGGGCCGCGCTGGCGTCTTCGAGCGGGGTTGGCCGGCGGACGTCGCCAGGGATGGGCCGAAGGGGCCAGGGCGCCGAGGGGCGGCCTTGGGAAGTGGCTCCTCCGTACTCTGCGACGTGACCGTACGCCGTCCGTGCGGCCAGCAGGCACAGGCGCCGCACACCGCCGCCGCCCCCCTCTGCGCGCGCCGCCAAGCCCTGGATAGGCTCTTCCCGCCGCGCGGCCGCTCCTCCGCCGCGCGCTGTGGGCCGCGCGTCGTGGGCTCCCGCCGCTGCTTCTTGCTTTCGCCGAGGGAGGCCTCTGCGTCCAGCGGCCCCGAGGCGCCGCACGCCGAGCGTGGCGTGCGGGCGCGGAGCTCCACGCGTGGACCGAGAGCATGACAGCGCCGGCGCGAGGCGCTCGCCGAAGCGGGGGCCAGCACGTGCCGAGACAGCGCGCGGCGTGCTCACACGGACGCCTTGGAGCACAGTGCGTGCTGCGCTGGAGCACGGGCGCACCACGGCAGCTATATAGGAGAGAGAGAGGCACGGCAACGGAGGGCGGGTGTCCGGGTTCACCTCGCCCAGGACAAGCATCGAACCGGGGAAGCGTCGGGGGTCTCCGAGATCTGGCAGCTCTGGATGATGCACCGGGGCGCCGCGGCCGTTCCAGACCGCTCTGGGACGATTTGCCCTGGACCAGTCCCCCCGCGCGGAGGAGGGAGGCGGAGGGCCAGCCAAGACAGACGGAGGGAAGGAGGAGGGAGGACCTCAAGACTCCAAGGTCGTACATCATCGTCGAGGAGCTACACTCCGGCCCTACCCAGCACATGCGCAGGGTCGCTCTATGGTGCGACCTGGTGTTCTTGACGAGGCCATACTTTTTCTCCCGCGGCCGGCACCCCGCCTGTCGTGCCCCCCGCCTGTCGTGCCCTTCGCCGCAGACTCTCCGCCAACACGGCTTCGTGCGAGAGCGCGGGCGGGGGCGCTGACATGCCATCGCCGCGCGCCCAGCACCAGAAGCAGACAGGAAGGGGGTCGAGCCTCGGGCGGCCGGGCGGGCATCGGCGCGGGCCTCCCCTCGCGACGGACCCGGCGGGCCGAGCTCTGGCGCTGCCAAGACAGCGGGCCCGACAGAGCCACGAGCCCCGACCTTTCAGGGCACATTGTGGGCGTGCGGCACAAGCGGGGAAGGGGGGTGGAGGCGGGAGAGGCAGGGAGAGCGAGGCGGCAACAGCGAGGAGGAGGAGGAGGAGGAGGAGGAGGAGGAGGAGGAGGAGGAGGAGAAGAGGGAAACGCCATGCTAGTTCCCACGCTGTGCGTCTTCCACTTCACAAAAGGGGTCGTCCTTGAGCCTTGGAGGCCCTCTCGGGAGTCTATTGCTGGGCGTCTTGGGGACTCTCTGGGAGCCTCCCGGTGGCGCTTTTGGAAGTTCTGGAAGCTCTGATTTACGTGGACATGTTGGGGGGTCTTCGGCCGTTCGGGACTGTTGGACCGGGGGTGCCTTCCAGAGACGCCTCCCTTACGTGAACGGGGGAGCACATGAAGCGACGCTGCAAGGAACAGCCTGGCTGGTGCTTGGATGCATCGTGAGCGACGCGGACAGGTGTACTTGGCGGAAAAATGGTGTCTCACTTGCTGGGGGCGGGCGACAGAGCGGGAGGAGGAGGAAGAGGAGGAGGAGGAGGAGGAGGACGAGAAGGAGCAGGACGAGGAGGAGGACGAGGAGGAGGAGGAGGAGGTGCTCGATGGGGAAGGAGGAAAAGCAGGTGGTGGAAGAGATGGTGGAGGGGAGGAGGGAAAGGGAGACAGTCTCGGAGAAGCAGGGGGGCAGATGTGCGGGGGGGGGGCAAGGCGAGGCGCAGAGGCAGCCTGTGGGCTGTTTCGGACGAGTCGGAGGAGGTGCTCGAGAATCCTGTGGGGCCTCTCAGGGCTCCCGCGCGGTGCGCACGACTCGCGAGGCAGAGAGCTTCGAGGACAGAGCTGGGAACTTGCTGCGTCGGCAGCTGGGCAGAGGGTGCCGGCCCTGGCGGAAAAAGCGTAAACGGGGGTTCCGTCGGAGCGAATTGTGCCACCATGCAGGAGGAGGAGGAGGAGGAGGAGGAGGAGGAGGAGGAGGAGGAGGAGGAGGAGGAGGAGGAGGAGGAGGAGGAGGGAGGGACGCGGCCGCAGGAAAACAAGGACGGGGCGGGCGAGACCCCTGAAGAGGGCACCGGCGGCAGGGAGAGGAAAGGGATAGAGAGAGGAGGGAAGTATGGCGGTGAGGGAGGGGCGCCTTGAGGCAGCATGGGCGTCCCATGTAGGTCCCCATGCTGTCCATTGCCCCCCTGAAGCGTCGTGAGGGCTCTCCGAAGAGGCTCAGGAGGGGAAAGAGGGAGGAACGAGAGAACCAGGAAAGAAGAGGAGGAGGCAGGAGGTCTCGGGCCGCTCACGGGTGACCCTCGGGGCCTCCTGGGCACTCTGTGTGGCCTTGATGGGGGCCTCTGTGGGGACTCCTCTCGCTTCGAAAGGGTGCACGTCCCGAAGGTACACAAATTGTTATGGGCGTTGTGGGACCTCCTGGAACCGATGGGGGGCGTCTGGGGATCCTCTGGGGGTCTCTCGGGGGTCATGAGGAAGCCTTTCTGCCGTCTCACGGTATTCTGTGTCCGTCGGGCGCTTTCGGAAGTTAGGAGGCAGCCAGGGCCGTCTTGAGGGCCGTCTTCGGATGTCGGATCCCCGGAACGGCGAGGACGCTCAAAGCTGACGACGAACATTAGGAAGTCAATAATGTTGGCCTCTTCAGACCTTCCTCATGGTCTTCTCGGGGCCCTCTGGGGCCATCGTGGGGACTCTTCAGCTGTCTTGAGGTCGTTGTGGGTCCAAAATCGTCTTGGGCGTCTGGAGGCCATTCTGGCTCTCTTGGAAGCGTCCTGGAGCGCAGATGGGCATGGCTTGCGAGAAAGAAAAAGGTGAGGGGGATTCAAGAAAGGCGTCCAATGTTGCTTCCGGCGTTGTCCGTTTTCCACTTGTAGCCTTGTCGTATTCCTGTGAAGGGACGGGAACTAGCAAAAAACGTCACGAACGGCAGCGATCATGGCCTCTGCGGGTTTTTGTCGGGTCCGTTAGGGGTCCTGCGAAAAAAATGAAGCATAGCGAAAGATGACGCCCAGAGCCCTAGAATAACTAGCCTCTATCACGAAGATTGCCAAGCCCGAGTGCGATGACAATCTGAGGGATGCGCGCTCAGAAACCCAAGGAATTCTTGGGATCGGCATCGAGATCAGATGATGCCGATCATATGGACATCTTTCTGCGGCACCGTTCGAGCCGGGCCGATCCGCGACGGCCCCAGGGCCCGAGGCAAGGCGAAAACGCCCGTTGCACAAGTACTGCAATGACTGCATGTCAGGGCACCCTCGCCGCTCGCTCGGGGGTTGCCAGACAGGTGCCCCTGGCCCGTGGAGTCGACTGCTCGTCGCTCCACCTTGGGGCCCCAGAGCCTCGTGGTGGGGTGCTCTGGAGGCCGCCGAGGCCTCCCTGAGATCCTGGGGACACCGTGGGCCAGGGTACGAGACCGATGTTGCATCACAGTAGCAATTCGGCCCCTGACTTTCGTCCTGGGTTCGGTTTAGTGAAGTGATGAATTTCGGGGTCCTTACGTGGGAAAAAACATCTCTTCACTAATCTGGGGCCCCTGGGGCCTCAGTGGGCCCTGGGGCCCAAAATCAGTGAAGTGATGGTTTTCGGGCCTCGGACAGGGGCACTTCCAGCATCTCCCGATTCGGCGAGGGCGGCGCCTGTGGCAGCCGGTCGCGGGCGCGGCCGGCCGCTCTCACGGCGCCTCTGGGGGTACGAAAGGGTACCCATAATGCGGGATGACGATTAAAAAAATGGGGGAGGGGGAACGGTTAAAAAAAAAGTTCCCTGCTATTTCTGCACAATTTTCTGACTGGAGGAGAACGATGAAAAGAAATAGTTTTCCAGCCCGCTGCCGGTTTTTTCTAATCGTCATCCCGGGCGCCGCCGCGTGAACACGACCCCCGGTCATTTATTAATCGTCATCCTCCATTACCGCTGCTACCCGGAACTATCGCGGAGGGTTCTGACCAAGACGTCGAGGCGAATCCAGCAGTGGCGACGAGAGCCTCCCAGGAGGCCCGAAAAGGCGAAAACGAGGGAAGGGTAGCGGTATTGGTACAGTCGGACCGAGGACAGAAAGAAAACATCCATAAATGACATTAGACCCTCCGTCGGCCAGCACACACAGAGCAACCAAGGTCACCCTCCCCAGGAGGCACAAGAGCATCCAACAAACACAAAGAACACGAGGGCACCCTCCCCGAACCGAACTCGATCTCATGATGGGCAAATTTTCCACGACCGCTACCATCGGTAGGACGGGTGAGAATGGAGGATGAGGAGGCCCTCCTCCCCCTCCTCCTCCCCCTCCTCCTCCCCCTCCTCCTCCTCCTCCTCCTCCTCCTCCTCCTCCTCCTCCTCCTCCTCCTCCTTACGTATGGCAGGCGATGGTGGAAAACGGGCCCATCATCGCACGTCTCGGCACGACTGTACCTCTCCTTCTCCGACTCCCGGCACCCCGGGCGGGCTGCCCTGGGCGCGCCCCCCTTGGCGCTCCGCGGCTCCAGCACGGCGGGCCTCCGCCGCATAGAGGGCCAGCACGCCCAGCGACGCCGCGGCCGCGCACGCGGAGCAGAGACCCGCCACCGTGCCGCGAAGCACGGGTTCGCGGAGGAGGGAACGCACCACCACCACCCAAGACGAAGCCGGGACGAGGACTAACTCGGGGGAGGAGAAGTCGGGAGTCTCTGAGATCCGGCGGCTCTGGAGGATATCTCGGGCGCCGCGGCCTTCCCAGAGCGTTCCCGAACGCCCTGGAACGGATTTATCCTCGTCCTACCCCCGTCCGACCATCACCACCACCACCACCACCACCACCACCACCACCACCACCACCACCACCACCACGACCACCACCACCACCACCACCTGGAGGATGGAGGCAGAGGGTGGTCAGGGGTGGTGGTGGTGGTGGTGGTGGTGGTGGTGGTGGTGGTGGTGGTGGTGGTGGTGGTGGTGGTGGTGGTGGTGGTGGTGGTGGTGGTGGTGGTGGTGGTGGTGGTGGTGGTGGTATCGTTTTGGGCGCCATCGCGAGACATCGTGCACACCCGCAGCCCGCACACCAACTCATCCTGAACCCCCCCCAGGTGGTGGTGGTGGTGGTGGTGGTGGTGGTGGTGGTGGTGGTGGTGGTGGTGGTGGTGGTGGTGGTGGTGGTGGTGGTGGTGGTGGTGGTGGTGGTGGTGGTGGTGCGCTTCCTGCTCTTGACAATTCCTCAGGATTCAGCATGCAAGGCCCGGACCCCACATCCTCAAATGCTCCAGGGATCCGGCGTGCCTCCCGCTTATAATTATCCCTGGCGCTTCCGTCATGACTGTTATTGAACCACGGGCGCCCCAAAACAGGCCAAGAGAGCCCCGAGAGGCCTCTGAACTACAACCCAGGCACGGTGGCGGGATGGGCCGAAGGCCAGCAGATCCGCCGCCCCCTGCTTGCAGGGGTGCACGGCGTGCTGGATGTTTCAGGTTTTGGTTTTGGTTCTTTTTCTAAAAGAACTCCCCAGTGGGCTTCGGCCCGTCCCGCCGGCCACCCTTCCAGGACCTCAATTCCCCAATTTCCTGCCCCAGACGGCTCCAAGATGGCCTCCAAGACGGCCAAGATGGCCCAAGATGGCCTCCAAGATGCCTCCCAGACGGCCAAGATGGCCTCCAAGACGGGTAAGATGGCTCCAAGATGCCTCCAAGACGGCCCAAGATGCCCTCCAAGACGGCCAAGATGGCCCCAAGATGCCTCCAAGATGGCCCAAGAGGCCTCCAAGACGTTCTCCAGGAGAGCCCGAAGAGGCCAAAATCATTGGTTTTCCTTAGGTTTTTGAAGGTTTTTTGCGTTTTCTTCTTTTCGGCCTTCCGACGGCCCAAGAGGCCCCCAAGATCGCCCAAGAGGCCTCCAAGAAGGCCCTATGACGGCCCAAGGGCCCCCCAAGACGGCCCCAAGAGCGCCCCAAGACGGCCCAAGAGGCCTCCAAGACGCCCAACATGGCCTCCAAGACGGCCCTGAAGCGCCCCAAGAGGGCCCCAAGACGGCCCAGAGAGGCCCCCAAGACGGCTCCAGACGGCGTCAGACGGACCAGGAACGCCCTAAGACGGCCAAAGAGACCCCCAGGAAGCCCCCAAAGGCCCCCAAGAGGCCCAAGGAGGCCCCCAAGATGCCTCCAAGAGGCCTCGAAGAGGCCCCCAAGAAGCCCCCAACAGACCCCAAGGGTGCCCCAAGAGACTCCTAACAACCCTCATCCTCCTACTCTATTTCTTCCTCTTCCTCTTCCTGTTCATAATCATTCTCTCCCATGTGTTCCCCGAAAGCTTTCCAAACCGACTCGGGGAACTCATGGTCCGATAGCTTGGCCAAGCTCTAGTCCAACTTTCGGCCACATCGGCGTTTCCAAAAAGGCAGGGGGCGGCGGTGATTCGCCGTAGGCGTCTTCGATCCGCCGCCCCCTGTCGGCTTGCCACAGGGGTGCCCGGCGTGATGGACCCTTTCGGTTTGGGTTTTGGTTCTTTTTCCAAACGAACTCCTCCTGGGGCTTCGGCCCGTCCCGCCGGCCACCCGGAAGGCCCGGAATTCTCATTTGCTTTGCTTAAGATGGCCAACGATGGTCTCCAAGATGGCCACGTTGGCCCAAGATGGCCTCCAAGATGGTCCAAGATAGCCTCCAAGTCCGCCCAAGATGGTCCAAGACGGCCTCCCATACGGCTCAATAGAGTCCAAGACGGCCGAAGACGGCACAAGAGGCTTCACAGAGGCCTCCAAGACGGCCCAAGAGGCCTCCAAGAGGTCCTCCAGGAGGGGCCGAAGAGGCTAACATCATTGATTCGTTTTAGGTTTTTGAAGGATGTTCGCATTCGCTTCTTCTCGGCTTTCCGACGACGCAAGACGGCCCAAGAGGCCCCCAAGATCGCCCCCACAGCGCCCAAGAGGCCTCCAAGATGGCCTCAGGACTGACCAAGAGGCCCCCACGACGTCCCCAAGAGGGCACAAAAACGACTCAAGAGGCCTCCAAGACGCCCAAGATGGCCTCAAAGACGGCCCTGGAGCACTCCAAGAGGACCCCAAGTCGGCCCAGAAAGGCCCCCCCAAACGGCTTCCAACGGCGTCAGACGGGCCAGGAGCCCACCGATATGGCCGAAGTTGGCTCGAAGCTGGCCCAAGACGGCCCAAGAGGCCTCCAAGAGGGCCTCCAGGAAGGCCAGAAAAAAACAACAACACTGATTTTCCCTTAGGGGTTCGAAGGATTTTGACGTTTTTTTCGTTTCGGCCTTCCGACGGCCAGATACGGCCCAAGAGCCACTAAAGATCGCCCAAGGATCGTCCAAGAGGCCTCCAAGATGGCCCCAGCACGGCCCAAGAGGCCCCCAAGACGGCCCCAAGAGGCCCCCAAGACGGCCCAGGAGCCTTTTAAGACGCCCAAGATGGCCTCCAAGACGGCACTGGAGAATTCCAAGAGGGCCCCAAGTCGGCTCAAAAAGGCTCGCCAAACGGCTTCCGACGGCGTCGGACGTGCCAGGGGCCCACCAAGACGGCCGAAGATGGCACTAAGATGGCCCACGGCGGCCCAAGAGGCCTCCAAGAGGGCCTCCAGGAAGGCCAGAAAAAAACCCAAGTCATTGATGTCCCATGAGCTTTTGCAGGATTGTGGCTTGCGCTTTTTTTTCTGTCTTCCGACGGCCCGAGACGGCCCCCAAAGATCGCCCAAGCGGCCCAAGACGGCCCCAAGAGGCCCCCAAGACGGCCGAAGAGGCCTCCAAGACGCTCAAGATGGCCTTCAAGACGGCCCAGGAGACTTCCAAGACGTCCTCCTAGAAGGCCCGAAAGGGTCAAAACAGCCTCCAGGCGGCCAAGATGACCTTCAAGATGCCTACGTGTTCCCCGAAGGCTTTCCAAATCGATTCGGGGAACACATGGTCCGATAGCTTGGCAGGTCTGGCCTCAACGTTCGGCCACGCAGGCGCTTCCAAAAAGGCAGGGGGCGGCGGTGATTCGCAGTAGGCGTCTTCGATCCGCCGCCCCCTTTGGCTTGCCAAAGTGCGCACCGCGCGGTTTTGGAAGTTCCCAATGCGGTATCGGCCCAACCCGCCGGCCACCCAGAAGGACTCCCAAAGTACGTCCCTGTTGCCCGAATCGCCTCCAAGACGGCCCAGATGGTCCCAGATGGCCACCAAGAAGCCTCAAGGACGGCGAATGGCCGCAAAAGATGGCCGCAAGATGTCTCCGAGACGGCCCACGATGCACCTGAGACGGTCTAAGGTGGCCTCAAGACACCCCAAGACGACCCAAGAGGCCTCCCAGACGGAGCAAGAGACCTCCAGAAGGACCCCCCAGGAAAGCCAGACTAAGCTCAAGTGATGTTCCTGAGGTGTTTGAAAGACGGTGGCCTTTTCTGTTTCGTCAGCCAACAGCCCAAGACGGCCCAAGAGGCCCCCAAGATGGCCCCTACAGCGCCCAAGAGGCCTCCAAGACGGCCCCCTGGCTGCCCAAGAGGCTTTCAAGATGGCCCCAAGAAGCCCCCAAGACGGCCCAGAGAGGGCTCAAGAAGGCCCAAGAGGCCTCCATGACGGCCACGATGGCCTCCAAGACGGCCCTGAAGTGCCCCCAAGAGGGCCCCAAGTCGGCCCAGAGAGGCCCCCTAAGATGGCTTCCGACGGCGTCAGACGCGCCAGGAACGCCCTTAGACGGCCAAAGAGCCTCCCAAGGAGCTTCGAACGGCCCACAAGAGGCCCAAGGAGTCCGCCAAGAGGCCTCCAGGAGGCCCCGAGGCAGCTCCCAGGAGCCCGAGGAGTGCCCCAAGAGGCTCACAAGAGGCTCACAAGAGGCCTCCTCTTCCTCCTCCTCCTCCTCCTCCTCCTCCTCCTTTTTCCTCCCTCTCCTCCTTTTCTCCTTCCTCCCCCACGAGCGCCCCGAAGTGTTTCCACAACGGCTGGGGAAACGCTGACAGCCTGATGGCCTGGCCGAGCTGTGGTCGCAACGCTCGGCCACGTAGGCGCTTCCAGCAGGCAGGGGGCGGCGGTGATTCGCCGCAGGCGTCGTCGATAGAAGAACAGGTCCCAGCTCTCCGCCTGCCCGCTGCCGGAGTCCAGCGCCTCCGCATGCAGCAGGAAGGCCACGGAGGGGCCCAGGCCCGGGACCCACTCCAGCGCAAGGAGGATCGAAGAAGAAACAAAGGCACAGACACTGACTTCGGAACTCCGCGCGGATCTCTCTCTCTCTCTCTCTCGCCCGCTAGTGGAGGTGAGACGTCTGGGAGTCAGAGTCAGCGAAGGGCGAGGTGAGGAAACCCTATCTCCTGAAAAACAGCAAAAAGGTCCCCGGCGAAAAAAACCCAAAGGAATGACACAGGAATTACTCCGACGGTGGGACCCCGCATGGGGATCACCGAAACTAATGCGGAAGGTGTCATCATCGTCGAGCGTTCTGGGGGGGCCCTGATCGTCTCGAACGGCCGCCAGAGGCCAGGAGGAGGAGGAGAAGGAGGAGCAGGAGGAGGAGCAGGATGAGGATCTCGGCGGCGGAGGAGGAGGAGGAGGAGGAGCAGAAGTCCTCTTCCTGTATCCTCATCGCCCTTCTCCTGTTCGCCCTGGCGGAGGCCCTCTTCCCGCCCCCTGCTCTGCTTCCTCGTCGTCCTGCTGCCCCCTCTCCCCCACGCACCTCCTCCCCCGATGCCTACTGCAAGGGCGCGCGTGCCGATTTTCCTTGGCGCCGTCGCCGCCTCCGCCGGCAGAGGCGCACTCTCCGAACGCCAGATGCTGGCTCGGATTGCCAGCATGACGCGTGAGCCCCGTAGGAAGAGGGCTCCCGCTCTACTTCTTCGCGTCTCACTCACAAGCGAGGCTCCCGCTCGAGACTTCGGCAAGGTCCAGGACTCAGGAGCCCAAACGTAACGAGGGTTACAAGTTTGAGGATGACCGCCTTGAATCGGAAACGTTAAGTGCGGTCCCCATACAGTCGTGGCTCCCGCTGGAGACTTCCGCGCGATCCACTCGCAAACGAGGCTCCCGCTCGATAGGTCCTCAAGATTCAAGCATCAGAAGCCCAACATTAACGATAGATATAAACTTTCGGAACATGAAACGCGGGCCCTCAACATGTAGCTGCAGGAGCCCCAAAGTGACGACGTTACAGGTTTAAGGATGACTGCCTCGAATTGGTAACATGAAACGCGGTCCCCATAGGGAGGGGGGTCCCGCTCGAGTCTTCCTCGCGAGTCGCTCACATGCGAGACTCCCGCTCGGAACTTCCTCAAGATGAATGCGTGAGCGTGTGAGTGTGTAGGTGCGCGGTAATAGTGGTGATAATGATGATGTGGATGATGATAGCGGTGTGATGATGATGGTGAGTGTGAGAGGAGAAAAGGAAGAGATGGTGAGGTGCTCTGTCCTGCGCGGGGGTGTGAAGAGAAAGCAAGAATCCCACGTAGGAAGTGGGAACATAAAACAATATTCATTTATTTGAAGCAAACGCGGCCCGAAAAACAGAAAATCCGAAGGGTTGAGTTTACAATTTCCGGACCCTTGAAAAACTGCCCCCCCTGTTAGCAAGTGAAGGAACCTCTTGGATCGGCACTAGTACCCCCGGGCGGCACCTCCGGTGCTGCCCCTGAAGAGCTCAGCACGCCAAAGAAGGGGGTCTAGCGACGATCCAAGAAATCCGCACGGACATCCGGCAATTCACGCGGATGCCACGGATGCCATTTCCTTCTTCGAGAAGAGGCCGCTCACGCGCGGGACGTTGGCGACGCCGAAGACGCGGACGAGCAGCACGGAGGTCGTCGACAGGAGGATCGCGAAGCCCGCGCCGCCAACGAGCCGGAAGCAGGTGTAGGTGACCATGCCGTACCCATCGAGGCGGACGGCCCAAGGAGTGAGGGCGTAGGCGAACGTCTCTGCCGTGAGGACCGCAAAGAAAACCCGCCGACCCATTTGTGAGGGGTGCCCTGGCCCTCCCGACCCCCTCCCCTGTGGGGGAACTTCGGGATCAGGAGAACGTGTTGTAGGCGGCCCCGTCTGGGAGGCCATCGCAAGCACGGGGTAGGCCGCATGAAGCCCAGGAGTAAGACAAACTGTTCTGGCTTCAGCAGGATGAAATGGAATCCGCTGGGACTCTGCGAGCGCCGATTCTGAATTCAACCTCCCTCGAGTCGCATCCTGGCCCTGGGGCCGAACTTCGGGATCCGAGCAACGTGCTGGTCGGCGGCGCCGCAGGGCACGGGGCGCTCGCAGCAGGAACTGGGACGCGCACAGGCGAATTGTACACCCATCGGAGATGGACAGACCCCCCTTTAGTAAAACGGGGTTTAGTGAAAACGACCTGAGGCCCAAACCTGGCGGGCGCAAGCCTGGAAAATAACGGCCACGGCGCCCTCTCGAGAACCGAAAACGGACAATTCACTAATCGACGTGTCACTGTTGGGGGTTCTGTCCACCCCCGAACCCAGGCAAGCGCGAGTGAAAGGAGAGGTGGGGCGGCCTCCGAGGAGCAACGGCGCCCGGCGTCGACCCGAGAGATCCGCACGGCTCTCCGAGCAGCTCCTCGGGAAGCCAAGAGGCACCCCCACAGCTACTCCTGGGACCTCTCCTGGGGTGCGCTCTGACCAGGATTTCGTCACGAATCCAGCGGTGGCGACGAGGGCCCCCCAAGAGGTCCGAAAAGGCGACAAGAGGGAGACGTAGGGGTATGGGTACCGCTCCCTCCTCTGAAGGAAGGGGAGTCCGGCGTCGACCCAAGAGATCCGTACGGTACTATGCCTATGCGCCAGGAAGCTCAAACTGATTTAGTCGCAGCGCTGGAGAACACACACGCACACAACACACACACACACACACTTGTTTATATATATATATATATATATATATATATATATATACACACAAATACACGCACCGCGGTCGAAGCCAGCGCGGAGACGCTGCAAGGGGCCGCGGAGGGGGAAAAGAGAAAGGGCGGCGTACTCAGGACATGTAGGCCTTCGTGAGCGGTGTGGCGGCCTCAGGTTCCGGGTACAGTCAAAGCTGGTAGTAAGGATGCGCGGTTAGGATGCAATGGCCTTGAACGCCCATGCCGGAGTTTTTCGAACTGGGCTGGCCATCGGAAATGGTTGAAGATGGACCGAAGACGACCGAAACGGCAAGTCTCTCATCCGTACTACCAGTGTCGACTGCAGAGCTAGACACACACGTGGCAGGGATTCACGTGCGGAGCATCACGAGGCGGCGCGCTGGATGCACTCCTGGAAGCCCAGAAGTGCCTGGCCATGGCAGGGCTGGGCGCTGGAGAGACATCTGGCCACACACGTGTATCTAGCACTCGCCCAGGCCAGCCGCGTCAGGTGCACTGACATCCGCCGTTGCGATTTCTGCTCAGTCCGCGGCCGCGAAGAGGAACTCTTCGCCCCAGATCCACTTTGCATGGCACCGGGCCCGAGGACGGCCCCGACGGCCAAAACTAGGGGAAACACGCCAGTCGAAACCATAGATAAGGTCTGAGTAACTTGGTCGGGGGACCGCGTCGCATCGCCAATGCATCGCCGATGCATCAGCGATGCAGCGGCGATGCATGGGCGACGTCGGCGATGCATCGGCACCCTCGGTGTAGAGAAAATCGGGCTCCACATCGAGCCGCATCGCCGATGCATCGGCGATGCGGAGCGATCCTCCGACCACAGCTGTTCGGACCCCATCTGGGAGGCCTAGAATGATGGGCAACCACCACTACCATACGTAGGACGGGACGGACCTCCACCTCCTCCTCCTGCTCCTCCTCCTCCTCCTCTTCCTCCTCCTCCTCCTCCTCCTCCCCCTCCCTGTCTTACCTATGGTAGTGGTGGAAAATGGGCCCACCACAGAGTCAATCAGATCGCCGGAGATCTGGGTGCATCGGGCTTCCAGGCGGTTGTTTGCGCTTCGAGGCCTGGGGGCGGAGGCGCCCGAGCGACATGTCGGGGGCCGTGGGGCGCCAGGGGCGTGCCGCGGATGGGACCGGGAGCCCTGCGACTTGGCAGGACACGTCCATGGCAGCCCTCCTCATCGGTCGGAAGAAGTAGGTAGAAACATGAAGTAGGAAGGCGTTGAAAGCAGATTGGGTGTCCACCCGCCCCCAGAAGAGGACGAAAACGGTGAAGCCACTCGATCATTGAAGTAGGAAGGCGCCTGGAGTAGATTGGAATCTGGGAATCCAAAATACCTACTTTCAACGACCGATGGGTAGGGGTGGGCGCACCAAGAGGCCCTGAGAGGGCTGGGGCCCATTTTTTCCTACAGAGTGCACGCACCTGGTCCTTACTTCTTCTCTCAGGAATGGGGCTGGTGTGGCGGACTGGCAACTATGATGTGTCGCCGTCGCCGCCCCGTCGCGAACGGCCCCTGTCGCTAAGAAGGCTGGAACCACTTGTTTTTATGATTCGCGATAACAGCCGTTACGGGTTCCGCTCCCCCTCCCCTCCACCCCACCCCCAGTCACGTCACGACTCGCGCCGGCGCCGTCTGGGAATTAGCCATTCCGAAGCAGTCCTGGTAAATACGTCGGCCGATCGTTCGTTGCTGCGGCCGTTTGCTCCTGTGGCCAGCCTGTCCTCGGCGCGCACGTCGCTATTGATTGCATTGGGATGCATTATTTTACGTTACGATGTCCCTGTTCTCATAGGTCTCTCTTCTGTCAAGGTGCGCTATGCTATGCTCACTCCTGTCAAACTACGATTAGACATACTATGTGATGCGCTGCTGTATGGCACCGGACATGATATGTTGTGTCAGACGTTGTTATACGATGCTACGTGTGATGCTGTTTACGTTACGCCCTGATGTGTTCAGTATGGTATGCTATGTGTGCGCGGTCAAGATGTTCCTATGCAGTCGGATGAAGTCATTGATGTTGCAGTACATGCGTTGCAATCGTTGCGCTGCTATGTCAAATGATGATCGATGCTGCAGTATGTCATTATATGTTCTGTGTCTGTCATGTCGTGCTATGATATGCATGATTACGCAATGGTATGGTCTGCGGTGTCATAACGTGTGAAACCACGCGCTGTCATGATATGATTTGCCACGTTATGTGATGCTGTGTTATGTGACGCTGTGGTGTTATGGTATGTTCGGTTATGCTATGTTTTGTTCCCAACCATCCTGTGGTGTTGGGTCCTCGTTTGGGAAAAACTACGGCCCGCGTTCCTTCCTCCTTCCTCATTCCTTCCTCCTCACCCTCCTCGCTCCCCGTCCTCGTCCGATCCCTGCCTTTGCCCACCGAACCAGTCAACTATTTTGGCACACCCCTCACACGTTTCGGGGCCCCACAAGAAGCCCCACCGAAAGCTCAAATGCCAGCGTTCGCATGCGCCCACCGGGCCCATTTTGGCACACCCCTCACACGTTCCGTGGCCCTGAAGGGAGCCCCACCGCAGGCCCAATTGCAAACGTTTGCATGCGCCCACCGCACCCATTTTGGCACACCCCTCACACGTCTCGCGGCCCAATAGGGAGCACCACCGAATGCCAAAATGCCAGCGTTCGCATGACCCCACCGGACACATTTTGGCAAACCCCTCACACGTTTCGGGGTCGCCCCATAGGGAGCCCCACCGAAGGCCAAAATGCCAGCGTTCGCATGACCCCACCGCGCACACTTTAGCACACCTCTCACACGTCTCGGGGCTCCATAAGGAGCCCCACCGAAGGCCCGAAGGCCAGCGTTCCCATGCCCCCGCCGCAACCATTTTGGCACACCCCTCACACGTCTCGGGGCTCCATAGTGAGCCCCACCGAAGGCCCGAAGGCCAGCGTTCCCATGCCCCCACCGCACCCATTTTGGCACTCCCCTCACACGTTTCGTGGCCCCACAGGGAGCCCTGCTGGAGGGCCCAAATGCCAGCGTTCGCATAAGCCCGTCGCACCCATGTGGGCACGCCCCTCACACGGTTCGTGGCCCCATAGAAAGCCCCACCGAAGGCCCAAATGCCAGCGTTCGCGTGCGCCCACCGCGCCCATTTTGGCACACCCCTCACACGTTTCGGGGCCCCAGAGGGAGCCCCACCGAAGGCCCAAATGCCAGCGTTCGCATGCGCCAACCACGCCCGTGTTGGCACACACTTCACACTTTTCGTGGCCCCGCAGGGAGCCCCACCGAAGGCCCGAATGCCAGCGTTCCCATGCGCCCACCGCACCCATTTTGGCAAACCCCTCACAAGGTCTCCGGGGCTCCATAGGGAGCCTCATCGAAGGCCCAAATGCCAGCGTTCGCGTAAGCCCACCGCGCCCCGGGGCTCCATAGGGAGCCCCACCGAAGGCCCAAATGCCAGCGTTCGCATGCGCCCACCGCACCCATTTGGGCACACCCCTCACAGGTTTCGTGACCCCACAGGGAGCCACCGAAGGCCCAAATCCCAGCCCTCGCACGCGTCCACCGCACCCATTTGGGTACGTCCCTCACACGTTTCGTAGAACCATAGGGAGCCCCACCGAAGGCCCACATGCACGCGTTCGCATGCACCCACCTTGGCACACCCCCTACACATTAGGTAGCCCCATGGGAGCTCCAACGAATGCGGTGCATACAACGACGGCGCCCACAACTGCAGATGGTTGGTTTTTCGCCAGGCAGACTACACCATGCCACATTATGCTGTGTTCAGCTACGCTCTGATATGTCGGGTCGTGTTATGCCATGTTATGTAGGGCCGGCAGTGTCATAGTATTCGTTGGCATGCTGTGCTGTGTCATGCTGTACTCTGGCATGCCATGTTACGCCATGGTATGGCATGCTGCTGTGCGATGTTATGTGATGTTGTCCAGTAACATAGTATGCCACGTTCTGGCCTAGCATGCGTTGTCATGGTCTGTTGTTAAATAAGGTAGTTACTTGTTCATGGCGTTCTATGTTGTACGACGCAAAGGGTTGTTGCGATGAGTTGTGTTATGCTATGGTGTGTATGGTCCAGTCTGTCATTGCATGCGTTGTCATGCTCTGTTATGCTATGATGTGTGATGTTATGTTGTGTTCTGTCAGATCCACACTGTCGTAGCATACTTTGTTATTAATGCTTAGCATCGTTTCCGTAAGATATGATCCGTGATGCTGGCTTATGCGATGCACGGTGCTGTCATGCTATGTTGTGTGATGCTCTGCTCTATCATGTTATACTATACTCAATTCTGTCATGCTCTGTCGTGCTCGTGGTCGGCGCGAGGCGGGCGTTTCGGGGGATCCTCGGTGGACCTGGGGATCTGGCAGCCGCGGCATGCAGGGTGGTCGGGCTGGGAGGCTTGTTCTTAAAATCTCGCGACCCCAGCCTGTCAGGTGGGGAATAACACTTCGGATGGCCGCGCAGATTTCTTGGATTGGCGTGGGACCCCCCTCCCAGGCGCGGAGCGCGCCGTAGGCGGCACCAGAGGCGCCGCAAGAGGGGTCGGGCGCCGATCCAAGAAATCCGCGCGGACTTGCGAAAGTTAGATGGTTGTGACGATCTGCCTTACTCGAGACGGGAAGGCGTGGTCGGGCGGGGTACGTGGCGAGCGCGTGTCGGATTTTGAATACGTTGTCGCCAGCCGCAAGGAGCGGTACAACAGCGCGGGCCAGCACGTACAGGGAGAGGCACGCCGCGCTGTAGTGGACAGCCTCGAGGTAGGTCATGTCGAAAATCTCTTCGAAGAGAACTGAGAGCAGCGTCTTCATGGATATACCAGCGAACCAGAAGCACTCCATAACCAAAAGGAAAACGTAGACGCGCCAGTCACGAGCAAGCTCTCGCGAGGTCATGGGGGTCATGGGTTTCTCCGCGTCCGCGACGTCGCCTTGCGGGGATGTGGACTCGAGCAAATTTCTTGCAGGGTTTGCGACCAGGAGCCCAGCACCCACGGCGACCGCGTGGACGCCGGCAAGGAGCCACAGCGCCAGGAGAGTGTCCAGACGAGCCATGGCCTCGCCGATGAGCAGCGTCCAGGTCAACGCCCCTGCTGCGCTCGCGGTCCCGGTAAGCGCATGCCCGATGTTGACTCTGTCGCCCCACCACATCGACACCTCGACGAGATGCAGATAAGCGACCTCTACTCCGATGGCGAAGCCCATAAGCGGAAAGGCTACGCCGAAGAGCACCAACATGCTCTTCAATTGGACCGCGCAGGCAAGCGCAGCGAGACTCACCGGCCACGCGACAAGGCCAGACGTGACAAATATCTGGCGGGACCTCATTTTGGAATGCACGCTGTAGAAACATCCATAAACTGCAGAGGCATTGTAGCATACCGCCAACACCGCGAACCCAAAGAAGAACGCGCCACCAGCGAGCTTGTCCTCGCCATTGGAGAAGGCGGCGGACACCGGCAATATCAGCGGAGACAGCCCGTAGAACAGGCCTCCGATAAAGAACTGAAAGAAACAGACCGACTTCGTGAACGATGGGGGAAGAAGGAAAAACGGCACAAGTATAACACTTCGGAGGTCCACGTGGATGTCCTGCATAGGCGCTGGACACCGAGCACCTCTGGCGCGGCCTCTAGCGCGCTCCGCGCGCCAAGGAAGGGGGTCCAGCGCCGATTCTGGAACAACAAGGTGCCCATACCGCTGCTCCACGGACATACTGAAGCGCGTTCTGACAAGGATTCCGAAGCGAATCCAACCGTGGCGACGTGGGAAGGGTAGCGGGATCGGTATCTCCTCCTCCTCCTCCTCCTCCTCCTCCTCCTCCTCCTCTGAAACTTCCGAACATGAATGATGGTGCCGGGCTTTCTTCTTCGAGATCGGCCGGGCCAGTCCCTGCTGGCCCAGGGCTCCCCCGCCATCGCAGCCAGCGTGAACGCTGGGCGGGGCTCGAGGCAGAGCGACTGTGGATCCAGGAGAGCGGGCGACCCCCACACAGGTGGCTCCTGGGTTCTCCGACGCACGGGGCTCCAGAGAGGGGGGAAAGAGAGGGAGAGTGAGAGTCAGCAGACAGAGATGAGGATATGAACATATTTGTATGTATAAGAAGAAAGGGAAAGAGAAACAGACAAAGAGAGGGACAGAGAGAAATAGAAAAAGCGATACATTTAAATGTACATATAAACATACGTACACTCACGCATACATATACACATACGCATACGCAGGCACATACACGTAACGGTATCCAGACGATATACATAATGCACATAAGCACATCTGCACTTGCATCAACATACACATTTACATAAGCATTTACATGTGCACATGCATAAGCATACATATATTCACATGTGGATGTACACGTCCGTTCCCACATACATATGCGTACGCATATGCATATGCATATACACATGTGTATACACACAAACCTGCATCTGCACACGCACAACCACATAAACCTATACATGTACATGGACGTATGCCGATACCTCTACCTACATCTCCCACACGTAACATCAAACCGTCGTTACCTCGGGCGCGTGCCGTTCGCATCACGAGCCAAACCATCAAGCCGACGCAAAGCAGATCCGCAACCCCAACCAAGAGGGGTGGAGGCCGATGCTGCACTGTGCAACCCTGTACCGCCCTTGCCGAAGCAGCGGCACAAGAGCACTACTTCAGCACATCCACAGCTGAGACGTCGACTGCACGCGACATGAAGCCATCGTCAAGCTGAGGAGGGATGGAACAAGCGAGGAGGAGCAACGAGACACTCAGGAAAGACACGAGGAGACGGCCGATGGATAAACGTGGTGTGAGTGCATCCCTGGTGTGAATGCACCCCCATATGTGTACATACCTGTGCATACATATTTATGGAGAGAGGAAGAGGAAGAGAGAGAGAGAGAGAGAGAGACAGAGAGAGCAAACAATCGATGCATAGAGAGAAAGAGAGAATGAGAAAGAGAGAGAGAGAGAGAGAAATACCGAGAAAAAAGAGAGAGCGAGAGAGAGAGAGCGAGAGAGAACGAGAGAGAGTGAGAGAGAGAGAGAAATAGAAAGAGAGCGAGCGAAAGTAGAGAGTGGGAGAGAGAGAGAGAGGAAACAAGAGAACTAGAAAGCTGATATGGGATAGCAACGTCTATGTGGAGAGCGAGCGGGGATGAGAGATGGACATGTGTATAGGGAGGGATACAGAGGAATGGAGAGAGAAGGAGAGGGACAACAACAAAGAAGCAACACACCAAATGACCACAACTTACAGGAGGAACATTATCTCGAACTGGTTTCGCGCCGCGTGGCGCAAACAGCAGAATGTTGACCGTGGAACCGAAGGCGCAACGCATTGCGCAACAACCTACGGTCCCGCCCCTGAGGTGTCCTGCGCATGGTGGCCCTCGGCGCAACTGCCTGCACAATCGGCAACAAACCTCGGCACCATGTATGGCGCAACCGACGGCACCGACGGCGGCCCTGTGCACAATCTCGTCGGCCAACTGCAACGTGCCCTGCCGTGCCGTGTCGTGCTGGGGGTCCATCTCGCGGTTCTTCCGCAAACGCCACCGTGTGGCGTGCCGTGTGCCGTGTCGTGATCCGTGTGTCGCATCTTGTCTGCGCCGTGCCGTGTGGCGAATGCCTTGAAACATGCCTTGTGACGTCGTGGCGAAGACTCCACCCCGTGACTCCGTTCCCCACTTGCCATACGCCGTACCGCGTGCCGTGTCGTGTGCCGTGCCGCGTGCCGTGCAACGTGCCGTGCCGCGAGCAGCGCCGCGTCGCAGGTCCAAATCGTGATTCGGTGGGATGGGACGGTGCCGCGCTGTGACATGGCATGCCGCGAGCGGTGCTGAGCCGTGCCAATACTTTTGGTTGGCGGCTCCATGGCGAAGGTCAAGAAGCGGGGCAACTACGAACGGGGCGCGAACGAAGCTAATAATTGGCCGCAGTGGCATATGCACATGCGAGGGACAAAATGACCCAAATTAGACGCCAGAGGCCAGCGTATACGTCCCGGCGATAGGAGACACCACAGCGCGGCAACCGGCGGCGAATCGGCGACGAGAACGCCCTTCAGGCGCCAGGCACCAGCAGCTCAACGCGACCAGGTGATCAAGCCGAGCATCCCGACGGGTGGGGACGAGCGCGGCGACCGGCACAGGGACGGCCGTGCCAATACGCGTTGCGCCGTGTCGTGCCGCGTCCTTGCACATCCTGTGCAAGGTCTCTTGCAACCCGAGTAGAGCCAAGAACAGCCCGAGCAGAGCCAAGAACAGCTGTTCGCTCCTACCCGCATGGCTGCGGGGATCACGACTTCGCAGGTCAGAGTCAATACGTGATGGCCCCCTGGCCCGGAAGAGGTCCAAAATGCCAGCCGTATGTTTCAACTCCACGCCAATATGTCAGGAGCAGGAGGGGGGAGGTCGGAGAAGGAGAAATGTGAGAAGGAGGGGGCGATGGTGAGGATGATGCTGCTGCTGATGCAGAGGAGGAGGAGGAGGAGGAGGAGGAGGAGGAGGAGGAGGAGGAAGAGGAAGAAGGGGAGCGAAACAAGAACAGGGAGAGCAGTAGGAGCAGCAGCGAACGTTGTGCTCATTCAGTGCCCCTGGATTACAGGACAACCCGATGGCCATCGAAAAATCACAGAAACGCCTGCGCGGCACCTGCTAGCAGGCTGGCCACTTGTCTGATCCTATGTCTCCGACGGCGTGATCATTGTTTTTCACAGCGTGGACCCCTGGAGGTCTGTAGGACTTCTGCCGCAGGACCGGCTCTGCATCCCGAGCCGTTTCTTGACGGCCCCAAGGCCCGGCGAGGGCCCCTGGAGGCCAGAAACTGAGCAACAAAATAAACTCCGTCTTGACTTGCCGTCAAGCTGGACGTCTGAGGCTGGATGCTCGATGTGGGGATCTTCCTGGAGCATCTCGCTCCAATCATGCGTTGATGATGCGTCGAACGTCCGTAGACTTGGATCGAAATGGACTTGAACTTGAGTCGAGCTGGAGTCGAGCTAGAGTCGAACCCGGGTCGAGTTGATCCGCTGAGTGGGCAGGGAGGGAGGGAGGGTGGGAGGGAGGGAGGAGGGAGGGAGGGGGGGAGGGGGGGGGAAAGGGGGGGGAGGGGGGAAGGGGGGGAGGGGGGGAGGGAGGGGGGGAGGGGGGGGGGGGGGGGGAAGGGCCCCCCCCCCCTCAAACACACCCGTGCCGGAGCAGACCAGGCTGCGCCGCGGCCGACGCTGAGGCCGCCGCGCGCCCCGCGGGCTCGCGCGCGGCCCCTCCTGGAGGAACAAAAGCCACTGCAGAAACCTAATTACTGTCTCGGAGCTCCACGGAGACTTCTTGGATCGGAGCTGGCCCCCTCCTCTCCTCCTCCTCCTCCTCCCCCTCCTCCCCCTCCTCCTCCTCCTCCTCCTCCTCCTCCTCCTCCTCCTCCTCCTTCCTCCTTCCTCCTTCCTCCTCCCTCCTCCCTCCTCCCTCCTCCCTCCCTCCCTCCCCCTCCTCCTCCTCCTCTCCTCCTCCTCCTCCTCCTCCCCTCCTCCTCCTCCTCCTCCTCCTCCTCCTCCTCCTCCTCCTCCTCCTCCTCCTCCCCCTGGCGCGCGGAGCTCGCCAGGGGTTGGAGCCAGAGGCGCAGCCGGGGGGGGGGGGGCAGAGCCGACCCAAGGAAGCCGCGTGGGGCTCCCAGAGCGTAGGTTTACCGGGCGGCGACAACCGAGCCCTGCACCCCCCCCGCCATCCATCGACGCTCCTGGATCAATGCGAGGCGGGGGTCATGGCTCGGGCGTCGCCACGTGTTCGACGGGTTCCGAACCTAATTAACCCCGCCGCCCATCAAATTGCCTGACTCGTGGATCGGCGAGGGTGCCGTCATCGTGCTACCATAAGGAACGCATCGGAAGGAGCGAAAGGGCTTCTCTGGCCACAGCGGGCCTAGGCAACAAACAGGCCCCACGACGTACGTCCCAAAGAAAGGCTCCAATATATAACTCTGTGGAACGGCACGAACGTCCAAGCCCCTCCTGAGCCCAAAGCGGCCCTTGACTATTTCAGCGTCTTGGCTGCAAGGTTCGGGTGTCACCGCCAATGATGACGCCCAGCGATTGGGGGGGCTGGAACAGGGGGGTACATCGACCTGGAATCGGCGATACATCGCCGATAGATCTGCGATAGGCCCCCCCGATCGAGAATCCGAACGCTCCTGGGCAGGCTGGGGCCATCGGGCACCCATCGGCGATCCATGGGCGGTTCGGAGTCGATGCGTCCCCCCCTGACGTTGCCTTCCAGTCCTCGGGCCAGGACTCGGCCCTCCGGCGGCCGTTTGGCACGCGGCGGGCAGCCTGGGAACGCCCTCGGCGAGGCGCAGCCGCGGGAACGCACCCCTGAGGCTGGCAGACCGCCGAGGACCGACGAAAGCCTTCCGAAAACTTGACACCTCGAGCGCAAGACGTCCCCCCATCGGTTTGGACGCCCGAAATGGGTACGGAAAGAATGGGTACAATGCCCAACAGCAAATGTTGTCCCAAACCAACAGCGGCCGCTGTTGGAAAGGCGGCCTTCTGTCTCAAATGAACACAGGCCGCGGCGGCGTGGACAGCGAATCCTGTTCCAAATGAACAAGAACTGCTGTTGGGCATCGTACCCATTCTTTCCGTGCCTAACGGGCGAAGAACGGTATAACATCAACTTTTTCGCTGTCGGGGGCGCCTGTCCCTGGGCGGCTGGAAAGTCTATACCCCTACGGTGGCACCGTAGGGGTATAAACTTTCCAGCCGCCCAGGGACAGGCGCCCCCGACAGCGAAAAAGTTGATTTTATACCGTTCTTCGCTCGCTGAATTTCTGACTACCTACCAGACCACCCCAACCCAACCCGAAGACCCGAATTTCGGGTTGGGGTGGGTATGGGCTGCATATGTGTTTTTTCGATGTTCCCGGACCACCCCCCACTAGAAATCGAGGGTAAATCTGAGCCTTCGGGTTGGGTTGGGGTGGTTTGGTGGGTGGTGAATTTTGGCCGTCCGGAATCGGCGGCGCCGCACAGGCGGTTGCGGGGGCGTTCCGGCGGGCCCTCCTCGGCGCGCTCCTGCCGGCCGCCCCCGGCGAGCGGTGCCGCGGGCCGCTGCGCCTCCTGCCACCGCGCGGCCTCCTGGCGCAGCTCGGCCGCCTCGGGGCAGGGGGGGGGGGGCAGCTGCTAGTAGGGAGGGAGGGAGGGGCAGTAGGGAGGGAGGGAGGGGGGGAGGGGCAGCAGGGAGGGAGGGAGGGAGGGAGGGAGGCCACGATCACCAGCACCACGACCACCACCAGCACGACCGCCACGACCACCACGATCACCACCAACACGACCACCTCGACCACGCCGACGACCGCCGCCGCCCCCCGTCCCCCTCTTCCGTCCCCCTCCCTTCCCTTCCCCTGCCGGGCCGCCCCTGCCGCTGCGCCTTTTGCGCGGCCGTCCCTTCCTCCTCCCTCCTCCTCCTTTTTCTAGAGACCGCCAGCGAATTAACCTGCTTCTCGGTTAGTCCCCGCCGGACTGACCTCTTTCCGGCTTCGCCGTCGGTCCCCCTTGGGCGCAAGGGGTGCCGGTCCCATTCGGGAGCCGGCGGCGCGAGAAGGGAGGAGGAGGAGGAGGAGGAGGAGGAGGAGGAGGAGGAGGAGGAGGAGGGGGAGGAAGAGGAGGAGGACGAGGAGGAGGAGGAGGAGCGAGGAGGGAGGAGGGCGGAGGACGAGGAGGAGAAGGGAAGGGAGGGAGGAGGGAGAAGGAGGAGGAGGGGAGGGAGAAGGCGAGCCCGCATCCTCGTGTGGGACACGCCTGCAATGTCCCCGCGTAGATTGCGCATTCACTCCTTGCCTCGAACGCGCTTGGAGCTTTCAATTATCTCCCCGCAGCGCACTCACCGATTACGTTTGTGAGGTCCCCAAATCCCATGGCGGCGTTGAAAATTGACTTCTCTCCAAAAAGAAACGATTATAGTCGGAGTGCAGTGTCCCCGAACAGGGTGTTTAAACCCACGACGGTGTCCAAGGTCGACTGCGTGCCCGTCCAGTGCGGGCTGGCATGGCATGCTAGAACATGACAACACGATGCTTGCACAGGAGATGTTTACACGAGAACTTGTGTGGCGCATGCCCATCAGAAAGCTAACGCTATAGGGTGTCGTACTCTCTCGCACCTGGTCGACGAAAAAGCTGTCGGGTCGGCACTGTGAGAGGCTCTACCGCCATGCTGCAAACTCGGAAGCAACTGTAAGAGGAAGCGGGGGAGGGCGTGGAAGCGAAGGGGCATGTCGTGATGGTTCCCTTGGGGATGATATCGAGAGGTACGCGGCGCACGTCTCAAAAGAAAAATCGTGACGTCGGATGTCTAGGGAGGGCGGAAGGCAGGGCGCGCATGACGGATGCTGAGGCGGCAGAAACGACGACGGCGGGGACGGGGAGGCGGAGGCAGATGCGCAGCAGCGGGAGGCGGGAGGCGGGAGGAGGGAGGAGGGAAGAGGAGCCAGGCGGGAAGCGGGAATAGGTAGGCGGGAGAAGGAATGAGAGAGGTTGTCCGACCAGCCATAACTGGGGGAGCTGTGGTCCTTACCCCCCTGGGGGAACCCATCGCATCGACGATCTCTCGAGAGGGGTGTCGAAATTGATGGGTCCCCCAGGGGGGTAAGGACCACAGCTCCCCCAATTGTGGCTGGCCTGGTTGTGATTGGAGCCCCTGTGCTACGAAACGTCTCAGGCAGAACGGGCCAGACCATCTCGCGCGCAACATTTCGAGCTTCGCATTGTGAGGATGGCTCAAGCGAAACAGGCCGGACCACCTCGCGAGCGACATCTTGGAGCTCAGTGTTGGAAGGATGTCTCAAACGAAACGGGCCAGACAACCTCTCGCACACGTTCTGACAAGTCCGCGTCACACTCGCTTCCCGTTGGGTCCTCTCCTGCAACTCCCTTTCTTCTCCCTCCTCCTCCTCCTCCTCCTCCTCCTCCTTCTGCTTCCTCCCTCATCCACATCATCCTCCTCCTCCTTCTCCCGTTCATCTCCTTCTCCTTCTCCTCCTCCTTCTCCTCCTCCTCCTCCTCCACCTCCTCTTCATCCCGAACGGCATCTCGGAGCCCAGAACTGCGAGGATGTCTCCAACGTAACGGGCTGGACCACCTCGCGCGTGGCATCTCGGACCCCAGAATTGCGACGATTTCTCGGGCGAAACGTGCTGCGAGGACGTCTCAGGGGAAACTGGCCGGACCACCTCGAGCGCGGCGTCTCAGAGCTCCGAGTTGCGAGGGCCTCCTGGGGCCTCTTGGGGCCTCCTGGGGACCTCCGGGGGCTTCCTCCTGGGCCTCCTGTGGCCTCCTGGACTCCACCTGGGGCTTCCTGAAGCATTTTGGGGTTCCCGGGGGGGATATCTAACATGTAGCCCCTCAAAATGGGGGGGGGGGGGGGGGGCACAAGAGCAGGAAAAGTCAACGAATCGGCACCGGATGCGTATTAACTGGTTAACTGCTACATTCGGTGGGGAACGTTTTTTGCTACCACATGCCACTCGTCTTGGCGAAGCTGGGACGCAACTGACAGCCTGGCGACAGAGCAGAGAGGGAGACAAGGGAGGGCGGGAACCGAAGAAAGGCTATGGAGTCCAGGGGTCCCCCATTCAATTGGTTCGTTTCTGACCTGTCTCGTCAAGTCATTTCGCTCACAACCTTCCCGCGCACGCACTGACAGGTTAACTGCTACATTCGGTGGGGAACGTTTTTGCTACCACATGCCACTCGTCTTGGCGAAGCTGGGACGCAACTGACAGCCCAAAATCCCAAAGGGTTCTCTGGGAGGGCGAGGCGGGTTAAAGGAAGGATGCCGCCTCTTGATCCCCCTGGCGGCACAGTAAACAGTTCACAATGCAGCCAGCCAGCTTCGGAAGATACGAAGCTGCCAGAGATGTCCAAGTGGCCCCAGAGGGGGCCTTGCCTTCCAGGATAACGTGGGGCTTCTCTGAAGCCGAGCAAACACCACCAAAACTGTGGCAACGCCTTTGGACTTTCAAAGTGTCCTGGGGGCCCACTCCGAAAAACAAAAACCGCGTGCGCTTTCTCCAGCGGACCCCAAACTGACACTGATCACACACTCGAGAATGCATGCGATATCGCGCGATAAGAGACTTCAGTTCAGGCGCGTGCCAGGCTCTACTGTTTATTGGATGCTCAAAACAAAGGGCACCTGCGAGCGGGCAAGCGCCTTCATTAATTTCAACGCGGCTCGAAAGGTGGCGTTTCCCTGTGAGATTCTTCTAGTCGTGTACTCGGAGGCGTCGGGGAGGCCCCAAGGAAAATCCTTCGAGCGACCCGGCTGACGGCCCCGCTCAGCCGCAGTTCCCCAAGACGCACAAGGAGGCCCTAGAGACGCAGCTATCACCTCATGCCTAGATATAGCGGCCCTAACACGCGCAAGCACGACTGGTCTAGTAAGGTCCTCATTGGGCCCATTGAGGCTGTCAAAACCATGGTAATTGAAACCTCGCTTCAAAGCAGCCTTACCTATCGAGTTCAAACCCGAGAACATATCAATAATGTACTTACGCTGGCGGCCACGCCGCCCCACAGGGTAATTGTCTCTGCACCTTTTCCGAGCAGTATGTCCTCTAGATGTAGCTCGCACTGTGTCTAAGTACCTTGCAGCTGGGACGGCAGGAGAGACCAGCTTTGCCCCAACCTCGCCGCATTCTCGTCACGTTGCATTGACTTGGCATACTTCCACTGGCCTCTCTTTTGTATCTCCTCGATCGTTCTGTATCGTCGAGCGTTGTCTATACTGGGCCCTGAGTGTCTGGCTTGATACGGGACAATGTGCTCTCGAATCTGCAAGTCGCTCAGCGCTTTCTTGAACGCTGCCAGAGACTGAGGGTAACTGAACGTCCACACCTTTTCTTCGGGATCCCCTCGGGCGAGCTCTCGGAAGATGGGCATGGCACACTGAAACCATCCGCTGTCCAACATCACCCCGACGTCCGACAGCCCTGTTTTGCTTCTCTGGGGCTTGTCGTCTGGAAACAGCAGCAGCGACCACCAACGGCGCACTCCCATCGCAGGCGCAATGATGTTGCCTCTCGTCAGCGTCAGCAGATGACTGGGCCTGAAGTAGCCGGAGACCATCGTGAGCATGAACGCCGCCATCTGCAGCGCGCCTCGCACCACCATGCGCCAGGCGAGCCCGCACCAGAGGGCCAGAGGCCATGCGCGGCGGCTCTGCCCGGGCGCCAGCTTGCGCCATCCTCGGAGGCACCTCCAGGCCCGAGGTGTCTTGGCCTCGCCCTGCTTCGAGAACTCCGGGAACCTGTACATGAGGCCTGCCATCACCTGATCGCCATTGGCGCTCTCGTGGCCTTCGAAGAACAGATGGTTCATGTAGTCGACCATCGCCTCGTCCACTTCCGAGGCCGTGGTCAAGGCCCGCAGCGGGCCCTGATCGCAATAGTCCAGGAAGGCCTCCAGCTCCTGAGTGTAGCGGTTCCTCGCAGGTCCGAACACCGACCGCCTCTCCAGGAACGTCTGGCCCTCCACCGCCGTGCTGTCCTGTGACGCCTCCGCGCCGTGCGCACGTCGCCTCCGAGCTGCCTTTCTCAGCAGCTCCCTCTCGCGCCTCTCGCCGGCTGGCACGACCTGCTGATCGTCGGAGGTGCTGCTGCCGTCGTCGCTGCCGGCCACGATCGGGCGCGACCAGCCCTGGGGGGGGGCTTGGAGGTCGCGCTCGTGCTCGGGCAGCTTGGGCGCTGGCGGCAGCTCGGCCGAGCTCAACCTGGTCTGCCAGTCCTGCGCTCTCTGGGCCGCGGTGAGCTTCGGCAGGCGCAGCGGCCAACGGGGGGTCCTGCTGCCCGACTCTCGCGCCGCCAGCTGTCGGGAGGTCGGCGCTGCAGGCTCGGCCGACGCGGCCCTCTCCAGCAGACGCGGTCGCCGCGCCGGAGCCCCAGGCGGAGGCGGCGGGGCCTCCCGCCGCAGCCCTCGGCGCAGCATGCGAAGACGAGGGCCCGCCGAATGAGTGGGCCTGCAAACAGGTTTGAGCCGAAACGGGCATGCGAGGACGTCAGACCGCACCTCGAATACACAGGCTCAGAGCAAACATGGGCACCAAGAGACCAGTCGGACTTCTCGGGCAACTCGGTCAAAATAAACTGAGCTCTCTGA